GTTTTATTTTATGTGGAAAAATAAATGTGTATTTATAGTTCTAAAGGATCATTTTGCCCTCCTGAAATCCAAGAGTTCAACTCTACAAAAATTGTTGTTTGGGGATTGTATGAGAGTAATGAATTTCTTTAGACTAAACACTGCAAATATGTCCAGAACTCTAAATTCAATGCAAGACTATTTATTAACAGTGACATTGAACCCATCAATAATTACAGAAGAAAGTAAATGTTATGCTGACTCAATGTGGTATGTTGCTACTTCAGTTTAATCATGTTTTCCGATGTTTACATTTTTTTGGTTCAAATGTTTATGGATGATAGCTGCCAATGGCTAAGATACTTCTTCCAATTTGGTCAGTCATCTGACGTCCTGTCTCACAAGTTCAATCAGAGATGAATTTCCTTTTGATTTGCAGCTAACAAGAATTGTTGATCTGACCAAAAGCAACCAAGTATGAACATTTTAATAAACTCATTTTGTGCTTAGTATATAAATGAAATGTTGCTCCTGAGTAGGTAATTACATTTGTTTGGTTCTGCAGTACCCATGTGTTGTTATGGCAACCATTGTGTGCATATTGCAGCGTGATCAACGGGGGGGATTGTGTAACGGTACTACGTTCCGTATATTAAGACTAGGACAACGTGTTGTTGAAGCAAACGTTATCTCGGGAAGTCACATTGGAGAAGATGTATACATACCTCGGATGTCATTGTGTCCCTCCAACCTAAAATTTCCATTGAAAATGAAGAGAAGACAATTTTCAATTATAATTTGTTTTACGATGACGATTAACAAAAGTCAGGGACAGCCCCTTTTGCAGGTTGAATTGTATTTACCATGTTCAGTTTTTAGCCATGGTCAGTTGTACATTATCAAGAGTACATCTAGAAAAGGACTCAAAATTTTAATATGTTGTGAGGATGGCAAGACGAGTAACATGACAACAAATGTAGTTTATAAAGAAACATTGCAAGATTTATAATATTTGTAATTTTATTTCATGAAGGACCGGATGCACTTTTCATCCGCCAGCTTTTGACAGTAACAAGATCAAGTCACCATGTATTTTCGATTGGCAAAATTAGTCCCCCAAAATGTTTTTCTTGTTAATTTTGGTAGATTTAACAGAATTTTCACACACTTAACGGTTTAACTCTTCTCTCAGTTAATTCTTTATTTTTTAAATATTTCTCCCTAATTGTTGGCCCCACAAACTTTGACCCATTCATTTTCTGAAAAAAAAAACCAAAAGAAAAGCAAAAAAATCAAATCTTCCCCCCCTCCTCTCTCCTCCCCTTTCTTCTTCCCCAATACCCACCACCATCCCGTCTCTCCCCCTCCCCTCCCCGCCGCTGCCGCCCCCTCTCTCCTCCCCTTTCTTCTTTCCCCCAACACCCAACACCATCCTGTCTCTTCATCCCCCCACCCTCCCCGCCGCCGCCTTGACATTTAATTACAAAGGTGATGGTCCCCCAAAAAAATATTTGGCATTATTTGGACAATCTTTCATTTTACATTTTCACTCATTTTACCTCTTAAACACAAAACTCAATGGAAAAAAAAATCATCCAAACAACTTTCTGATTTACATTTAAATTCCAACTTGAAACACTTTTTATTAGTGTAATAACCATAATTCAGTGACAAATTTGGCAAGATTTCATTGTTGAGTGATTATTTTTGAAAAAATTATTTTTTGCAGTGACTATAATTGACAGTATTTAATTTTTAATGATGACTTGTATTTGATATTTCAAAATGTAGTTCAACGTATATTTTTTTTCAAAACCAACATCCAAACAATATTTTTCTTTCCAATTTAGTTTTCAATTTAAAATATTTTCTACTTTTAAGTGACAAAATGAAGTGTAAATTGACGTCCAAACAAGCACAAAATCTCTCCCCCCTTACCCCCCGCCGCCGCCCCTCTCTCTTACCCCCTTTCTTCTTCCCCAGTGCGCACCACCATCCCGTCTCCCCCTCCCCCTTCCCGCCGCCGTCCCCTGACGTTTTATTGCGAAGGTGATGGATCCGTCAAAGGGTATTGGCTGCCCCATCGCCCACTTCCTCCGCCAAACGACTTCCCCATTGATGCTCCTATTTCCTGTGGAGATGGTGGAGTTGGCATTGCCGATTTGGAATTTTGTTCAAGGTAGAAGCTGGGAACTACATATTGCAAATCAATTTCTTGTATTCTGAGATCTGACTTTTGGAATCGCTACTATCTTTGTCAAAGTTAAATGTTAAAATCTGACTATTGGTCGTTGAAGGGGCTTCGGGTGCAGGAGATAATTCTGGGTGTGGCAAATTTCTTCGGTCGATAAGGCGGCAGTTGAGGACTTTGCCGATTAATTTTTGTTGAAGATTAAATTTGATGAATTTTAATTGGTTTTAAATATAAAATTAGACAGACACACTTTCTCAATTTCTCTCAATCCCACAAGACTCAAATTCAGACTCGCCCAAGAGCGGTGGAGATCGGTCTCATCAAAACCAGATGACTTCCTCGACGAAGTTTTTGCTTTGCTATAAAATTAGAATTGAGAGATTTTTTTATTTTTCTTTTGGGTTTTTTCGATTTTTTTTTTCAGAAAATGAATTAAAATTGTTGGGTCAAAGTTTGGGGAGGCCCACAATTATGAAGAAAATATTAAAAAAAAAGAATTAACGGAGAGAAGAGTTAAACCATTAAGTGTATGAAAATTCAGTTAAATCTACCAAAATTAAAAAGAAAAATATTTTAAGGGACTATTTTTGCCAATTAAAAATACATGGTGATCCTACCCCAAAAACTGCGGGACGAAAAGTGCATTTTTTCTTTTCATGAAACATTTATTGTCAATCTTAGATTTTTGTTTTCACAAAAATTTTTCTACTCTGTCCATCAGACGAACGGGTTTAACACCTAGTAGTTTGTTTGTTTCATTTTTTTGATGGTATTTTTAAATTAAAATATTAATAATTGTCCTATCCCAACATACCTTTTTTACATTTCTAATACACCTTTTTATATTTTCAATACAAAAAACACCTAAAACACACACACTAAAAAAACGAAACAAACATACCTAATATTTTTCCGATCTTAAAAGTAAGTAAGATCACAATCACGTAACATTTTGATCAGGTAAAAACGAAGGCTCGTAGATTTGGGGTGACGAGGTTGGGTTAAAGAGATAAATAATCGATGTACATTAATGCGGTAAGATGCAATGGCCGAATCAATAAGTTCCAAATCTTAGAACAATTCTAACTACATGTACCTAACATTAAGTTTCACAAAGTTGTATAATTAAAGTCACGTTTTGTGTTGTAGTTTTGTGCTTAATTAAAAGATTTTGGATACTCTTATCTATCTTTTTGACGTGTGTGTTTTTATGTTTTAAGACACATAATAAAAATCAGAATATTGTCCATGTGTGATACATTTTGGGTTGAGTCTTCTTAAAATCTTTGATTAACCTTATCAGTTAATGATCCTTGTACATCATGAACTTAATTGAGAGATGATACTAATTAGAAGTTCATTCTCTGTTTCAAAATAAAAAATTATTTATTTAATATTAAATTACATTTTTTTTTTATTTTGAGACGAAAAAACTAAAAAATTATATAATTCTCAACTCTCTCTTTGGCCAAAGTCCTAGAAAATAGGATTAACAACTCTCTCTTGGCCTTTGTGGAGCTGGATCATATATATATTGGCTAGCTAGGACAAAAAGGTGGATTGCATCTAAAATGTAATTGTCCACTAATTTTGGCTCCAATCCAATAAAATATATAGTTAACTTACTTGAAAGGTGAAGAACAGCATGGTCCTAATCCCATGAATTTTAGTTTATTTTTTTCCTTTTGTTCCTACTCCCTCGTAAAATACTCCAAACAGTAAATATTGAAGAGATATTTCTGGCCTAATCTGTCCACCTCATGTCCTTATTCAATGGCCAAAAATTACAACGTACGCCAAAGCTAAAAGTAAAACCAAGAAGAACACATCATGCCCTCCAAGATTTATATAATCTCAAAATGTGCATGCATGTTAATCACGAGAAAACTTATTTGCTCATCTCCATCCCAAAGGTTACAATGGAAAACGTTATTACTTCGTAAGATTGAATTTGTGATCAGCACCAAAACTTAAGATTGTCACTATGGATGGAATACTAGTGATGGAATATTAGTAAGCGTGAGATATTGAAATTTTGTTGTGTACCATGTTCTTTGAGGCTTAAACTGGAAGAGATTATATTTTATAGGTCCAGAGATGATTATCCAGTTGAGATTTTCATTAATCGTTTTCAGTGAATGTATTATCAACTAAATAGATATAAATATTATCAATGCTTGATCATATAATTATAATTCCATTACATTCCCAAAAAAATAATCAATGAATTTAATATATACCATCGTAAAATCGTGCAATGGGGATCAAATTGATATTTTACGGCATATACATGGTTCAATTAATGTTCACCTCTCTGATAAGGGTAGTTAATTTTTGTTATCAGTTATCGTGTCAGGAATTTATAGTCTTATTATTTTAATTGAACTCAGGGAAAATTCAAGAAAAAGCTAATTAAATGGCTAATCTTATTTATTTTCTTTTCATTGCAAGCAAAATTTCATGGTGGTTTTGGATGAGATTGGAACAAGAGTGATTGACCAAGAAATTGATACTGAAACACGTAGATGTGAGAAATGTTGAACCCCTATTTTTTATTTCAAGAAATAAACATGTCTCTTGTTTTCAGACACAATCAAATAATTTTTTTTTTAAAAAAATAATAATAATAAATTTGGAGGAAAAAATTAATGGTACGCTCACATCAAACGTTCATTTCTGAACTGTGAATAATAGATAAATTCAATAATTTTTTCTGACCAAATAAATTAATACACATGATTGCAAGATCGTAGCCTTGCAAAAGGAAAGATAGATAGATAATCTACAATATACACCTCTTCTTAATTTCTACCCAAAGAGAATGTACATATATATATATATATATATATGAACATCCTACAAAGTATACAATATCTGATTAATTATTTTCACTCACCCGAAATCATAGCACCATATGATATACAAGAGTAACACCCTCTCCCTTAAACCATCGACAAGAAATTTACATCAACAAGCCAAAAGCCAGAGAATTAATTAGTCCCATAAATCCGAGTGAGACAAAGAACTAAAGAAGTCTATGATCATGAATTCATGAGGATCATATCATCAGTTCGGAGAAATCATAGTTGTTGTAGTCATGGAGATGATCACCACCAACCTGTTGGTGATACGCAGGAATAGTACTATTACTAAGTTGATAATTATAAGAATCAATCTCCATAAGCCATGACTCTATATCCCCATATACCGGTAAATCCACCGCCTTATGGCTTGCCAAATCCCTTTCAAACAATGTTGCATCCAACTCCTGTGGACTTTCTGCTGGACTAGTATTAAAAGATGTCAGCATGCTAGCTTCCGATGATTCGACCGATGAATCAAAGCTGTGTTCTCGATAAGGTGTTGCATGATCATGACGGTGATGATCATCGTCTTCATCATCAATATCTACAACAACAGCAGGAACTTGCCTGCTGCTGATGACTGGTTTCGGGATTGATGGAGGGACATAATAACTAGGCATGATGGAATCCCGGTTGCCGGTCAAATCTTGCACCAGCCTCTTGAAGTTTGATGCATCTGTGATGTAAACTTTAGGCTTCAAAATCTTGATCAAACTGTTGAGGTTTTTCTTTTCATTCTTAGATATTTTTGTGGAGGCTATTTGACTGATGAGTTTCTTCCCCATGATTTTTATATTTTATGAAAGGGAAAAAAAAAAAAAAAGAGATAACAAGACAGCTAGACCTTGAAATCAACTCCCTAGACTTTCTTTGTTCTTCTTCAATCTGAGGTTCCTAAGCACACACTAAGAAGGCTCTAAAGGGGAGGGAGGTTGATGTAGCTTGATGTAGGTCATGGAAATAAAATGAGAGTTGGGGTTTTATAAGAAGCTACCAGATTAGAAAAAATAAAATAAAAGATGCTGAAAATGATGTTTTTGCAAACATCAACACTCTCTCTGTCTCATTTTAATAGTCATCCACTTTGTTAAATTAAAACAGTACAACAAAATGAATTATTATAATGGGACGGAAGGATCAGTACAATAAATAAAGCACGAAAATTGGAGTCTTTTACCCACCAATCCATACATGCCTATCTTAATCTGAGTCTCTTCCCTCTCTATCACTTTCCCTGCTGATGAGGTCACTCTAGAATTAATGTGAACTTCATCTAAGAATATGCTAAGTTTTGTAACTACATGGGAGGGGGTCCTCTTTCTTCATAATTTAATTGCATCAAAATTAAGGGTAAGTCAATTCATTAGGCTGAAACAAGCCATATTTTATCTGCAATTGTTTATATAACATTAGAAAAATGACTACTTGGAATTGTAGAATAACATTAAGGGCACGCAGCACACTGTTTAGGTTTGTCTTGTTTGGGCTATGTACACATTGACAGCTGAAAAAAAATAGTATCCACCCAGTTAAGCAACAAGGTTCTTGTTGCAGGACATTAACCAAAGGATGAAACATGGCAAGAATCATGATGATCATTCACATAATCACGCAACCTCTAGCATGATCCACATATCCTATAACTCAAGCATGATACTGTTCTAAACACCTGTAAACTTTACTAATGCCAGGGATTGAATATGGCTACTAAAGTGGAGTCAGTAAGCTCAAACGGTTCTATATCTACTATTCATTCCTATGGTTCGCGCCTTCACGTGAGTGATGATAGCTCTGCAGAAATCCGAATGAATCTTTCACCATAAGAACTTAAACCCAAGTTAAACTTGTTTAAAATCTGAACTACAAATTTCAGTATTGTAGTAATATCCAATACAACATTGAGCATATGCATTTGGAACTTCTACATCAATTAGGCCCTGGAAGTCAATGTAATTAGACAGATGGATTACTACAGTTAACTACTGACAATGACACTAAAATTGCTTATTTGGAAGGATCAACCGCTTCAGCGTGGACAAACAGTGCTATCGAATGTCTGTCCATGAACAATATATCTGCATATCTTTAGGAATTCACACCTTATATCGCATTAGACCTTTCAATTTACACATCACTTGAATTTGTACTTCTAGCTAAGGTTGTCTTTACTTTTGATGGTGATGGAATATAACAGCCAAAAGAGCTGATGGTCTGATTGTTAGCATCTAATATTCGTAGAAATTTACAGCAGCAATAATGTTTTCTAAAAGCCAAGTCATCAGTTCTAACCTCTTCCTTAAGGCTTGAGTTATAAGAACGCGACATACTTAGTCTTTCTGGCAGAATCAAAGAAAAGGGATTCATGTTTCTGATTTTAGTGCGGAAGAGTGGTTGATCAAGAATGGATGGTGTATGGATTACACAACTAAAAAAAATGAACACTGCAGAATTTTTTTGTTCAACAACAATGAAAATGCAGCAAATTTGTACCCTAAAAACTGTTGTTCCCCCCCCACAACAATAATTTCAAACCGGGATAAAATGCAAAAACACTTCTACGATCTGATGAGAAATGAAATAACCAAGTTACTAGTTTGTTGATTATATGGTGGCTAGTTTGAGATTTTAAACTCTATAGCAGACTGACCTAAAGCAGATTGCAGGTCTTATATCAGCCAAAGGGATAAAGAAAGAATATGGTCCACGGTCTCATCGCTCTCTGGCCACGGTGCTCTCGGATCAACCTACATCATTCTTTTCTTGACTCTCAATTTAATCTTCTCTTTTTTTCCGGTTTCCTAGTAATCCCTTTCCAAATAGAGTTTATACAAACTAAAATCCAACAAGGGGTCAGAGGACTATGAGGCAAATCCAAATGTTTGTGACTAGTTCCTAATTTTGATAGGGAGCATCTGTCAGCAATGATCAAGTTTACAATCTAGGAATACTAGATGATTCGAGTAATACCAATCTTTACTTTTCACTGAACCATCAAACTCCCGTGATGGAAACACAATTGTGATGTGAGAATATCATTTTCTTTTCTCTTATCCTCTTGCACAAATAATGCAGTATTATAACATTTTGCATAAAGGGAATAGAAGCAATGAAGCTAACCCGTTTCACTTTCACTTGGACAATATCACGAGAATCGTTTAGTGTAATGCAACGACAAAGATATTTGGCTTTTAAAATCTACGGCATCATGGCAATTGGTTCTATTTAAGCTTTGGAAAGCTGCTATTAAAATATATTCAAGGCAAAAAGGCTGCTAATGAACGATTCATACAAGAAAAGGACTGCCCAATTTTTGGCACTACAGTAAAATAAGTTTTTAATAAATGATTATCTTATTAAGGCCTTCCCTGCGCTGGACTCGAGCAATTCTCTAATAAACACTATCTAAATCATAACATATACTCCCTCTATCCCAAGATACAGGGCACAATAAAAAAGAAAATCATTTTGGGATAGGGAACTATACATTCCAAGGAACAACAAATTACAACACGAGGCAATTGTGTCTCATCAGTAATATCAATCACTAGCTTTCAGTAATATCAATTGCTAGCTTAGTTAAAATGTACAACACACTCGAAGAAGGATAATGGTATAACAATTGTACCCTGCCAGTAATATGTGGATTGTGCCTTATGTTCCATTTCAATAAGCGAAACCTTGGTTCCTGTCAATAGCAAATCTGCAACAAGCCAATTCTCCCTTCCCCCATGAAACAAAGAGACAACGAAATAGACCTACTGCGGTACATATCATGCCAAAATATTCAGTATATTGAATGTCTGGTTTTCTGTGCCAACAAGGTTCATCCATTGTACAAGTTGGAAGAGAATCCTATCAGATATGCGAGAGTGATTATCATGTATATAAAAAACAACGGCATTCTAGTACATTGTTAACATACTAAGTAATCCTATGAGATGAATCAGTCAGGACATAAAAAAGCAGGGAACTCAGCAAAGGAAGAAAACCTTAGTATAAATACCATCTACTCGAACAAAACATCAAGAGTCGGACTTGTTTCCTGATAATGATGACCCGAGCTTCAACATAAGAGGATACACAGGACTGAACTCCTTGTCTCCTCTTGCTCTCACCTTAGCAGCGTAATCATCGAGAGTAGCTTTGATTCCTGTCCAGATCTGATCTTCCCCTTTTTCCTCGAGCCACAATGAATACTTTTGAGGAGTAAGGCGGTTCCTTTCCATGGGTGATTGCAGTTCTTCGGGTGCCCGCGAATACAAGTGATGCAGTATGACACTTAATGGTAGATCTTGAAGAAGGGCGGATGTCTCCAGCTCTGAAGTTTCCAGAAAAAGTATAGGCTTGAAAGCCCGGAGAGCCCGATACGGTGCACCAAGTTGTTCTACAGGGAACAAATTCTGGCCTACTGTCAACTCCAGTTCAGCCATATCTTTGGCCATCCTCAACTTGCCAGATTCTGACAGAGGTCTAACCAGTGATGCTTGTTGAATGAAAAAAGTCAAAACCCTCGAAGCCATGCTCCTCAAAAGCCCAGTGCATATGAATTCAGTTCCGGCAGATGCTGCACTTGCAGACTTAGGCAACAGCTTGGATAGAAATTCAGTTCGGAAATGGAGAGTGATCTTCTGCAACTCTTCCATGTATGGTGATGCATTGTTATCCATAGCAGCTTCAGGAGTCTCGAAATTCTGGTCATGAATTTGCAGAATACACGACTCAAGACGATCACGCATTGTTTGGAACAAAGATGTAACCGAATCACATGCAACACGATATATTGCATCAAGGGCAGGAGACAAAGACTCAGCAGCAGTCACAGGCAAACCTCCCAAAAGGGGAAATAGACGGGTATAAATTTCTTGAAGGTGCTGGCATAGAGCAAAGTTCTTCAGCTGTGCTGAAGTTGCAGGTCCTGTTATTTGGCGAGCTTCAGGTCCTGCTGATATCTGCATAATAGTCACAAAATTCTTCATGAAACGGCATACATGTACATACCTCTGACATAGTATGCTAAAAAGAACACAGAGACGCGTCGACTCGCCTGAATCTTGTGTTTCGAAACAAAGTTTTGCTTACGGTAAGGACACAGTTCAAGACTATGCTAAAATTACCGAATGCAAAAAAAGAATTAAGCAAAACCAACATCCTCTAATGGGCAGTCAAAGTAAGGGTGGACGAAAAGTATCTTAAGTTTTCAAGAGAAATTGTTTGCCGTCCATTCACAAGGATAAGCCCCCCTCCCCTCTCCTTCTTTCCCTGCATAAGTACCGGGTGGGTTAAAGACCACTCGAGAAAGAAAAAGGAAAGTGATGTAGCTGTTCACAGTGTGATTTCCACTAAAGTTATTTGACAATCCAGGCTTCCAAAATAACAACCCCCAGATGCACAAGATCTAGTACGAAGAGGTCTTTGGTTTTAATTCATAGCTTGTACGCGAAATTTTTATCTGCTACTTAAGAAGAGCAGACACGAGAAATAGAAAACTAAAAGAACACACAGGGCAACAGTTTGACTATTGCGGTATATGTAAACATATAGTGTCTGCGTGTGTGAGAGACATATTTTCTTAACTAAGAAGTACCTGGTATTCAGCTCTTTCACCCAGCAAATACAGTACTTTAGTGATCTCACGCGAGACAAGGACAGTCAGACGTGCGTCCAGCTGCACTGCTTCAATTTCTTCCTGAATTCGCGACACAATCCTCAGTATATGTTCTCTGGATGGAACAGTAGCCCGACTTGACATGGGAAATACAGAGTTGACGAGTTCCGACAAACGACCCAGACAGAGAGTTAAAAATGAAGTCTGAAAGATTTCAATCGCTGCCATCATTTTATCCTTTCCTTCCGGAGTGAGAGCTGGTGGAACTCCCTTAACATCTGTATCTCGTGAAATTCTTTCAAGTAGGTTTTCTATCATGGAAAAGAGCTTTGGATAGCCGACAGTGAAAATCTCTTTCATAAAGCTTGATGCGGTAAAAATAGACTTCATTTGGTTAGCAAAAGACGTAACTAGAGCATCCCAAACGCGATCAGTTAACATCGGGTCCCCTTCCTGAAAAGAAAGCCAAAGGCCATGTCCTTTAGAACATACTAAAAGCTAAACCACTTTGAGATTATGGAATACAAGGCAACTTTTGGGCAAAGGCTTCCATTATGTAGTTGAATATAATGGTTGCAAAAGGCTAACCAACTAAAACCAAACTTATAAATTATTAACTAATTCTGTAACTGCAGCACCAAAAATTGCAGAAAAATCAAGAGCAGTTCAAGTTCAATTCTCAAATGTCAGAAGATCGAACTACAATTATCTATCTCAGGCACAGCCCTCCCTCTCAGTCCATACAAACAAAAGTTAATAAGTAAATATATAATAAAGCCCTTGCATGATTCATTTTACTATGTAGGTTTTCAAAGCTTCATCAATAACAAAATACTACTTTCATCAGCACTCTCACATAATTTCTCTGACATCTTATAGGATTTTACTGAATATTTCAACAAGAAAAGATAGGAATCCATAGGCCTAGATACAAGCGAGAAAAATCAATTACTCAAGCAAAAATCTGCATCAGTAGCATACTAAATAATTGAAAATGAGTACCCCAGCCAACTCACCTGCAAGACCTCATCAAGGAGCAAGACGTGGGTAAAAGGATCGCGCTTCTTAGATAATACCCTCTGCAAATGCCAAACAGCAACAACAATGGAATGCAGCTGATCCATACAAACGTTCATCCTCTGCCAAAGCGCGTCCTTTGCTTTTGTCCCGCCACCAAGCTGCGGCGTCCCACTCCTCTGTACCCCTCCCGGTCCAGGGAACCCTCCTCCTCCGCCCCCAGCTGAAACGGCCTTCATATCCAATGCCACGCTCACACTCTTAGTTGCCATTGCCTTATATTTACTCACCAATCCATCCACTGTTCCCCTCAACTCTCCCATGTTATAGAACACTTGCAAACCAGCTCCAACCTCAGCCTGATTCAACCCTTCAAGGCCTCTTTCGAGCACTCTCATCCCTTCAGCCCGCAATTTTTGCCCTATTTCCAAAACCCATTTAAGCTCGGAATCCACAACATCAATCCCGGCTAAATGGGATTCATTATACAAGGTCAGTATCTCAAAATGCAGCTGGGCTGCCTTGGATAGATCAAGCTTTTCGGGATCGGGAGCAGAATCAAATAAATCCCGAAGTTTTTTGGACAACCTGAGAGTCCTAATCGTGGATTGCAGGAGCTCAGTGGTAGAATGAATGTTAGATAACTGTAGGGTTTTGGTGGAAATCAGACGGTGGGGCTCCGTTAGCTCGGACCGGATTTTCCGGACGGAGGATTGAAGAGAAGAGACAGAGGATCGGAGCGAGGAAAGAGCAGAATCGGTAGCGTTGATGGAGGAGAGCTGTTGGAGGAGGTCCTGATGGCGGGAGAGAACTTCGTGGCGCAATTGGGAGTCGAGGAGGCGGAGGCCCTCTTGGAGTTTCTCAATGCGGGAAGCGGCTGAGCCGGAAGAGAGGGCGGCGGAGGAGAATCGAGTGGAATCGAAGTCCTCGGAGAGGAAAGCGGAGAAAATGGGGTCCGAGGAGAAGGAATCTATGACGGAGAAGGAGGGGGAGAGTGGGGTGGGAGTGGCGGTGCGAGGAGTTGGAGTGGCGGCTGACGGTGGTTGTGCCGGAGTTTCTTTGAATGTGGAGAGGCGTTGTAATGGAGATCTCTGGATGGCCGGAGAGGCCATTCCTGATCTTGAATTTCAGGCCAAAACACAGTAATATTGGGTTTTGCTAGTGTCGACGGTGAGGACGATCGAGAAGCAGGAAATCGTCGATCCACGTATATAAACTCCAGTACATTTTACTTTTTTCCCCACCCCTTTAATCTTTATGTACTTGTTTGTTTGTTTGGAAAAAATGTCGTTCTTACCTAAAACTTTGCCCTCATCGTCAATTATACCTAATAGATTTTCGGTTAACTAATTTTACACTAATATTTGAAATTTTTGTCAATTTCGTCCAATAGGCCCATTTTTCGTCAAAATTAACGGATCTCCTTTAGTTTTTTAATAAAATAATAAATTTAATTACAAAAATACCTCAATAATTTTTAAAAATTTTAGGATTTATGTTTTAGGGTACAGGGTTCAGGGTTCAGGGTTTAGGGTTTAGGCTTCAAGGTTTAGGGTTCAGGGTTCAGCGTTCAGGGTTAAGGGTTTAGGGTTTATTATTAGTTTTATTTTAATAATAAAGTTTAGCAATAAAAACACTATTTTTTTAATTTATTTTATTGTTCCTAACATGAAGATTAAAAACATTTAAATGAAACTGATATTCCACCAAAAAATAATATTAGCTCAAATAAAAAAATATTAATATATTTTAGTGTATTACAATTTAACTCAAGAGATTATAACTTGCATTAATATAATTCATAAAAAATAACTAAAATATAAAATAATTAAAACCTTAAAAAAAATCCTCAAAACATACGTTTTCTTTCTTGAATCTTAAACCTATTTTCTATCACAACAATAAAATAGTAAGATTTCTTCTATAGGAAGTTATATTAATATCTCAAATAATTATTACAAAATGTTAAATCCTCTATAAGTATAAACATTTTTTTTTATAAATTATATTATGCTATGTAGTCTCTCTAGTTAAATTGTAATACACTAAACTATACTAACTTTTTTTTATTTGAGCTAATATTTTTTTTTATGTAGAATATTAGTTTCATTTAAATGTTTTTAATCTTTATGTTAGAAAGAATAAAATAAATCAGAAAAATAGTGTCTTTATTGCTATATATTATTAAAAGATTAACATGCTTATATAAATACAATCACGTGTTACAACTATACAAAGATTAAATTTTACGGTAAAGTTTGAAAATTAAAAAAATATTTTTTAAAACTCATATAATATATACTTTTATGGTCATTAAAAGTAGTTGAGAGAAATGGAACAAAATAGAGAAAAATGAAATAAAAAGGTGAAAAGGGACTATCTTGTTATTTTTTATATATTTTTGGGCTTATTTTTAAAATTTTTAAAAACTACTGGGGTATTTTTGTATTTAAATTTATTATTTTATTAAAAAACAAACGAAGATACGTTAATTTGGACGGAAAATGGCCGATTGAACGAAATTGGCGAAAATTTCAAACATTAGGGTAAAGTTGGCTAATCGAAAATCTATTGGGTATGATTGACGACGAGGGCAAAATTTTGAGTAGGAGCGACATTTTTTCCGGTACTTGTTTGTTTGGGTTAAATCTGCTTTAATTCCAATTTCTGAATTGCTTTTTACAGTTATAAAAATTACTCATTTACCGTCATTAGGACAATTGTGCCCCTCTTCCTCTTATTCTCTCCATTCTCCCTTCTTTTTCCACTATTTATTTATTCTCCTTTCTTGAAAAATATAATTATTGATCCTACTTTAAAACAAACTAATTATTTAAAAATATAATCAATAACTAAAATGAATATAACAAGAATAATAACAATAACACAAAGATATAATTAACATTAAATTAAATTTTATTTTAAATAAACAACTATTACTAATACTAATTTTTAAATTTTAAAAAATATAAACAACAAAGATTATAACAACTCATGTAAAAGAACTAATTATTTAAAAATATAATAAATAATTATAATAAATATAACACAAAATGAAAAATTGAAAAAAAAAATTAAAAAAAAAATTCTTGTTTTCTCCATTCTTGGATAGCTGGATCGGCTACCTCTCCTTGGGTAGCCGATTTCGGGCCGGTTGGTCCTCCATAGGTAGCCTGTTCCGGGCCGGCTACCCCTGACTGGAATTTATTTTTTATTTTCTTTTTCAATTTTTTTATGTTATATTCATTTTAGTTATTTATTATATTTTTCAATAATTAGTTTTTTTTAAGTGAGTGGTATTAATTTGTGTTGTTTATATTTTTTAAATTTAATTAAATTCAAATGAGTAGTATTAGTAATTGTTGTTTATGTATTGAAATTTAATTTAGTGTTAATTATATTTTTGTGTTATTATTATTATTCTTGTTATATTCATTTTAGTTATTGATTATATTTTTCAATAATTAGTTTGTTTAAATGAGTAGGATCAATAATTATATTTTTTAAGAAAAGAGAAAAATAAGATAAAGAAGAGGAAGGACGGAGAAAATAGGAGGAAGAGGGACAAAATTGTCCTAACGACTGTAAATGAGTAATTTTTATATAATTATAAATAGCAACCCCCAACTTCATTACCAATCCATTTTTCCCTGTGTATTTTTTCTTTATTATTATTTTCCTCATTTTCTGTTCTTGTTATCCTTTTTTTTCCAAGCTCCCGGAAAAATAAAAAAAGTATCAAGAAACAACTTTTTTAGCTAAGAAGCAGATTAAATAGTAGCGGGAAAATAACAAACTTGTAATAAAATTTTGAAAAAATCACATAAAAAAGAAGAATAAAAGTAATATAACATTAACAAATGCCATAAGAATGAATATTTCTTTATTCATAATGTATTGTAATCTTGTAGGAGAATGTATCATTTTGAATACTTGTTTGTCATAATGGAAAGGGAAATCACACCAAAACATTTTATTTTTTGACTTGGACACTATAAGACTTGGGCACTCTTTGATAAAACTTAATTTGAGATTTATAGTCTGAATTATAAAAATTTAGATATAATTAAACGATTTTCTTTGATAAAAATCAAATCTAATTTGAAGGGAAAAAAATTGAAGACTGGAATCTGAATTTAGATAATATCTTGACTTATATTCGTTCAAAATATCAGATGCATAAAACCATCATAAGAAATATAATTATACAATTATGAATTTATACAATAAAACTTATATTTTGATTGCATTATTACATGTAATTAATATTTCATCCATCTCAAAATAATTATTTTATTGATTTTTATTTTTACAACACTTGTACTAAAAATAACGCAGGAAATAGAATGGAGGAATGTGAATTTCATTCATAGTAAAAAAAAAAAAAAGAAAAAAAGAAAAACCAACTCATTAAAGAATTCTAAATTCTACCATGAACAAGGAGAATTAATCATTGTTGTCGACGGTAAATATCTTATAATATCCAGAAAAAAAGTTTAAATTCTCTTTACAATGTTCAAGAATGTCTTGATAATATAATCATTCTCCCGTAATGATTTATGAGTAGTTATAGTGTAGATTTTGTCCGAAATTGCCAAAGTATGCCGCACACCCTTTTTTTTTCAAAAGCGGTATTCATTTTTCAATAAAAGGAAAGATCAAATAATAGTTAATAATAATGAGCTAAGACAATCCGCCTTAAATGTTTTATCCAACCACGAAAGGATTTGATCATCCCATCTTCGTAAATCTTTGTTGGATAAAACTAAAGAGTTCCATTCTTTCCTAATATACAAAAATTTACAACTAACAAAAAAGGATTTCAACAATAAGATATCTTTGACTATAGTTATAATATAGGAAATTCTTACTTGCAACCAAACTACCATAGTCTTGTCATCTAGTTATATTTCCACATTCTCTAGAAAGAAGTGTAGGGATGCCGCACACCATGATTTGAACAAATTATCCTTTCGAGTCTATTTTGGTAGCACTACATTAGATTACAACCAAAAATCCTGAATTATTGACTACCATTTACAAATTCTATTTAAACGATGCATATACCTAAGTCGATTAGCTTTGTTTGTATGTGGTTTATAATTCAATTTTCGGATTATTTTTTTTTTAAAACACCAAAAACTATGTCAGCGATGAAGAAACTATGTCACAGGCTTTCAGCCAGCCGCATCATGTAATAATTTCGTTTGATGGCTTTTTCCACCCAAATACCAAAAGTGCAGTCGGCACCTGGAAAATCACTCTTGCTACAGGAGCTCATATACAAATCAAGGTCGTTGCATTATTCACCTTATCGTTTTTTCAGACAGAAGTCATGACCTGCATGTTAGCTCTGCAAGAAGCATCATCACTAGGTGTACAAAATGTCCAGGTGCATACGGAATGCGAACAGTTGACAACAAATCAACCATTGGCCAGACTACCGTTAGAGGCTCAACCGGTTGTAGCTCAATTACGTATTGTAATAGTTTCTTTTCAATCGCGTCTTTTTCTTAAGGTTAGTAGAGATGATGTTAATGACCTACATAATCTAGCTTATGCAAAACAATGTTGTAATAGTATAGACACTTAATTATCAATATACAGGTACTTTTTCAAAAAAAAAATACGTCCACTGCAATATGCTACAAATCACAGTGTAAAATAAATCATCCAAATTCAGATACAAAATTGGAATTTCATGTTTAAGATTGTGATAACATGTCATCTAGCTTACGGAATACCTGAGCATATTAATACCTTTCCCTATATATAGACACAAAATTCAAAAATTGCAATAGCAAAGCATACTGAATATATTGATCATAACTTGTCCATAAATATGAGGACGGTGATTATAACATTATTGTTTGGTTCGAATTCTAATATGTAGTTACATATTAAGTTTCATGGTTATTTCATAGGCTGCTGATAAATTCAGGGCCTTTTTTTTTTTTAATTCCAGAGCTAATTTTTAGAAGTCCTATTTTACCCTTGCTAACCAAAATAGATATTTAACTTATCACCTAATTGATGTAGTGGATGAAACATGCGCGAACCAAATGCTTGTTCGCCCCTTTTGTTTTTCCTTTTCTCAGACCTTTTTTTTTGTTAATTTTAATTTTCATTCCTTTTGTTTAAAAAATTTGAAACTAGTACGATATCTATTAATAGAATTACATTTTTTCCCCTTTCTTTATTTTTCTATAAAGCTAAAAAAAATATTAATAAAATAGAAATCCTTGCACAATATACGATAATGTCTCATGAAATCAACATGGCTAAATAACATTAATCGCTTCAAATTTGTGCTCAACGTCTAAACATTATTTTTACAACAAACTTTTATTTTCAAAATCATTTGCACAAACTCTCACTATTCTCACTATTTACCATCTTGGTGCAAACTCTGAAATGGGTATTAAGATGGTAAAAGAAAGATAACGCATACTTAATGGATTAGTGATCAATATATATGAATAAAATGAATACTTGAACTGGAATTTTCAGCTTTGAACTAATTTCACTATCTCCATTTCCAGATTACTAAGAGAATGCAGGCTATGCAGATTTTTTATACATAAACAATTAGCAGAATATGAGATTCTTACCGCCAGATTTTACATTGTTAAAATATCAAAACAAAAAAAAGTTTTTGTTAATCATAACAACAATAACAACAATGAAACTTTCATTAGTAAAAGAGAACAGAAACCTATTCGTCTAACGGTATTAGAGCAATAATTAAATAACTAATTGATGGAAAAGAAAAGAGGAGAAAACACATAAATTCTAAATAATAACTTACTCCGTTTATAAGGATAGAACAAATAAGAGGCAAACAAATTGTTGAATTGAATTGTGGAAGTAAAAGAAGAAAAAATAGAGAAGCTGCGTTTGATTGAATAAGGAAAACAATGTCGCATGTACGACTAACCGCAACGTTCTCAGTTAGATTATGGGGGAAAAAGAAAAAGAAAAAGAAAAAGAAAAAGGAGAAGGTTCGTTTGATTGAAAGTAGGGAAGAAAATGAGAAAATCCCTTCAAAACAAAAGTAAGATTTAGCACAAATAGAAATTCCCGCTCTATGAAGGAAAAATAGGAAAAAAATATTAATCGAAAGATAAAGTAGAAATATTAAAAATTACCTCTGGATCTAATAAAAAATGGCCCGGGATTTATCAGCGGCCTGTTTCATATTGTTAAGTGGATTCAGATTGTGTTTGTTATAGTTGGGCATACTTCTGCTGATAAATGGTATTGTAAGTACTGGATCAGAGTGTGTTTAGGCAAACTTCTACTCGTCTTCGTCCCCTTATAAAACAACTTTGGTCCAAGCAAAAAAAAAAAAAAAAAGTATTATCAATCTACACGATGATCGAAGTAGTTGGCGGTATGAATTTTGAAATCAAACGTAAGTAGTACTGATCTGATCAAAAGAATCACTAATTTCTTCTTAAAAATGTGAAGTATATTAAGTGAACCATGAACAAAATATTGAAGTTGCTAAAGATCATCTTTATCTTCTGTTCTGAACTGAAGAAGGAACAGCAAAATCATCAAACGGTGCTAATAGATAGGTCAACATTGTACTTACAATCTAATCACACATTATTGATTTGTTTGTATCCGAATGAAATACTAACATAGAAGAAAAAAAATAAGAATAGAATGAATAAATCAATTCAGAGTACAGACCAGGAAGAAGCAGCAGCAGCAGCAGCAGATCATGGAAACAATTGAAGAAAACAAAAATTTCAGAAAGAATGAGTTTACAATTTTTCCCAAGAAGAGCTATTAATTTAGCAAATGGGTTGTTGATTGATACGTTTATCAAAACAATCAATCAAACGTGACAGCCACAGCAGAGGTAGAAGAAGCAGAATGTAGATAAAAGAACAAAAGGCTCCAGCAGGTAGAGTATCCTGAAGACGACGTCGTCGAAAATCGACATATGGAATGGAAAACTGAACCTTCTCATCAGCTTGAAGAAAGAAAACCTCCATGACCACAAAGCTTCTCTGCTTAGAACTCTCTTCAAAGATGGGAGCTTCCCCATTGCTCTCATATTTATCACAAGCCATTTTGATTTTGATACATCATAAGTATATAAATAAAGGAATAGTCTGATTTTTCCACATTGGAAAAGATGGGATTTTTGCAGGCCAACAAGTTGTACAAAGTTTTTAACTTTATATTTTGTGTAAGCTGGAATGGAAAATCATCATCAAGTTTCTATGTATCATTACAATTTGACAAACTTTTTGTGTCTTTTTTTGGTGAATGGTTCATTAAATTAGTTGCTCAGGCTTCTTTCATTTACATTTTATCGCCTTACCTGAAGTTTCCTAAACAATAAAGCGACAATTTCAATTATCTTTGGGTTGCTTTAACGCCACTAACTCTTCTGAATGAGGGGGGGGCCATCATCTTTGTTTTAGCATCAAGCAGTGAAAGATCACAGATGTTGGTGGCTCTAAAGGGATCCAAAATTAAATATTACTCCGCGTTTGTTGTATTATTGAGACCGGGAAACATGTTTTACAGAATGCATATGAAAAACAAATCCCACAAAAAGTAAGCTAAGAGGATAATAAGAAAGCATCTACTGAGTAGTGATCATCTATCTGCTAAACACACTCCAAATTGGTTAGGAACTATAATTTCAAATCTGGAATTGATACAAGTTAATTAATTTACTAACCATGAGACTGATTGTGTGATGTTCTAGTGTTTCTCTACCGCTGTTGGTACAAAATATGAATATTGGAAAACAACCCTGATGCTAGTTGCTCTAGACTAACTGAGATGGGTAAGAAACAATCAGATTAGTTGTAAGCGCAAGAAACGGGCAGTGCTGATCATCAACTGGTCGAGGATTTGTCTTTCTTCCCAGCAAGAATCATCGAAATCTGGAGACCTCTGCTGAACGCTTGGTTGAAGAGCAGCCGAGTTTGGAATTCTGAGACGAATGGGAACCAAGACAACACGGCCACAGGTGCGAATATAACGATTCCCATCAAGCATTCGTATGCTCTTGCCAGTTCCATAATGGAATCCCAGAAACCTATGCCTTTCAAGAAGGGCCTCATTGCTTGAGCGATCTGAAAGTTGGGAATCATGGCAGCAGATAATGTTAGTGCTCCCAGATAAATGCTAAATATGTTCATAATGAAAATGATTCCTAATTAGAAAACATCCCCCCTTTTAAAGGCTACACTCATATGAAAAAGCATCATGAAATATTACGGCTTGTTAAATAGTGTTACACTAATTTAACTAGCCTAGTTAAATAGTGTTCCTACACCCAACAAACTACCTTGCTCACATGAAATATTGCTTTCACTTCATTTAGCATCATGAAATCTAAAATGAAAGATCCCCAAACAAAGAATATTTCTAATCACTAGTGTTATATCAATCGTTTTGCCACCTGGTGAGAAGCCTACTGCAATTATAAATGAGAAGTCAAAAACTGAACTTACCAAAAGAATGGCCCAGCCCGAAGGAGTGAAGGCAAGGATAGCAGCAAATATATCTCTCACAGTGAGACCAGCGACAACAAATAAGACAGTCATAACAGATACAAAACCAAGGAACAGAAGAGCCTTTAAGATCCTGAACATAAGCTGGAAGTCAGTCCCAAATCTTCGTCTGCCAACTGATACCATCTGCTCAAACAGCAATTGCGAAAGAAGAAATAAGAACCATGTTTATATACTTCGCATGAGACCCAAAAGTAAGTGATTTTTGAACTACAAGTAAAAGGCAAAGTCTTATTCAGTTTAATTTAGAAAAGGAGGAGACTTGAACCAAGTTCAGATGCTTTCTGCATGCTTATAGGTAAACTGACTTCCAAAACTTACACAGAATATTAAATGACAATAAGGTGGTCATAGACCGTAAAAAAAATGTATAAATGGACAACAGCACTCTGATTAACATGAACGGAAAAAACTTATAAAGAAGAAAGAAAGCAACACCTCCGACACCACTTTGAGTATGGAGACCTAATTACTACCTGCAAAGCATAAGGATCCCCTTTTTCTCTGATTGTTTACCAGGGTATATCAAACCTCAATATAATGCAAGATTCAATTCATGTCTTAAGCAGCGACGCTGCTCTTTTTGAGGGGCTTAGTTGATTACCTTTAAAACAGCCAGTACAACCGCCATGACAAACCAAGAAAGTCCATATACCTGAAAATATTATGTGAAGCAAATTACTAATTGTAAGATGGAAAGACAACCAATTCTCTAATGAAAACTAAGCAGGAAGAAATTTACCCCTATATTTTTTATTCCATGAGATACATCAAGGTGATAAACAATTCCATATTGGTATATGAAAAACCGAAATGCAAGGACTACTTCGAGCAATCTGCCCAACTTATTTGTGTGTTTTAGGTGTTCCTGCTCCCCATCCCACCAGGATTCCCAACTTTTATCCGGTGAAATCGCAATACCACCACGATTTCCCAACCATCTTTTCCAATCTGTCCAGTCATCCACTGTTTTCTGCCAATCAAACCCAGATGGATTGAACACGAAAGGAGCAAACAACCAGGACGCGGTGAGGAACCACATAGAAAAAGTGATGAACAGGTATAAATTTGAACTGCGGTAACCACGTCCATAGATTTGATATATAAGCAACAGCATAAACAACTCCAGCCCTTTGACAAAGTGACTGCGGGAATACATTCGGTAGTTTTCAGCAAACTTTTCATGACGAACTACAAAACCTCGACCTGTAGCCCGGTATTTAGAACCTCCATGCAAAAGTGTTCTGCCATAGTAATGCGCTTTTGTTCCAAGATGAAAAGTGAAGAATACTGAGGCCAGTTGTAGCTGCATGATTATAAAATCACCCAGCGCAGTTCTGAATCCACGTTCAAGACCAATTTCCATAATCATTGGCAGCACCAGTAACAATCCAAGTTGAAATACAGATTGCGTAGCTAAAGCCTCTTCTAGTCCCTTGCTCTGCCGAACAGTTGGATCTTCCAGAATTCGCCTCTCCATGCCACTCAGGACCATGTATAACCGCCCATATAGAAACATGTATACAACCAGCACTGTGACCTGGGTAAATGCAATTTGTTAAAGAAAATCGGAAAAGTAAAATTTAAAGTGTTTTTTTAGTTGATAAAAAAGCTGCCCATGCCAAATCCAGACCTGGAAAAAGGTAATGCCAACAAATGAAGCAGGGTTCAAATGTTGCATGCTGAGGCTCATCAAAGCTTTTATCAATGTCTTTAAATTGTGTTTATAACGATAACACATAAGGAAGGAGTAGCTGATAATTCTCATCAACACATAAGGAAGGAGTAGCTGATAATTCTCATCTCTTTCCAAGAAAAAAACATCTAGAAACCCAAAAGAGACATATTCTAATGCAGAAGACTGCATTTACAGACACAGTACCCCAACAAACAAATTTTATTGCTTTTTTAAACACCCAAAATTAGAGTTGGGAGGGTTGGTGGGGTGGTAAGGGTGGATTGTTATTACCATGAGGTGGGGGTTTCAAAACCTCGTCAGGGCAATCTAATTTTATGTACATAAAAATGCCCAAAAAATAACCTGCAGATTTAAATATTAGACTACCGAGGAAAATTTTACATTTAAGAAGGCCATCACTTACCATACTGCTAAAGTAAAACCCAACAGTTGTGAAGTAAAATGACAACATTCTAAAGAAGTCAAATCGACGTCCAAGCCGATAGACATCTCGACTAAGAGTCTGTTCACCATTTCCATTTGCAACCTTTGCTTCAAAAAGTGATATTGGATTCATCCCCACATCACGTCCCTTGCCAACTTGGATGTATTCATGATGCGTTACATATCCTCCTCTCAAAGTTGAATTGTAACCTGAGAGATTAACCCAATCAGTAATCAAGGGAGATTATTAGTATGTCACTCCATCAGGCAAAATCATGACCTGCAAATATGTCTTCACTCAAGTTAATAGTTTTTGACGCTTTGCTTATGCCGCCCCTAGTTATGTGGAAGATCCTGTCGAAAATATCAGGGTGCCCGTAGTGGAACCTTACCCTGTCAGATAAAAAGTATCAATCAGAATTTCACCAATTGAACAGACAAATTCAACTTGCCAGTAAAAATGAACATATGAATTATCATATATAAGAAATATCACCCATCAAGATGCAGTTTACTAAAAGAAACAAGGTCTGTAAGACAGTAAGGGAACACTAGCCCAACCATCAAATAGTCATTGGAGCTGGAAATAGAACAATCAATGAATATCAGAATCAGCATGAATAAAATCTTGAATATCTTTTTGTCTTTAAACACTAGCTAATTGTTCTTCAATTCCAATTTGTGCTACTAATTTCATTTACAAATTGCCCCGGATGCTACTGGGACACTAATATTATGGTTGAACTAAACTCTATCCAAGTCGTAAGAAAAGATAAACTCAAAATCCGAGGCTCCTTGCCTTCTTGTTAAACTCACTTTTCCAGGGAATATTTATAGAGTAACGCTTCTCTGTGTATATTCTAGACTAGACCATTTTATATTCTTTCCCGTAGAATAGAAAGAAATATTACCTCAGAGGACTGGCCAAAACTCTTTGTCCAATAGTTACAAAACTTGTCTCCTGATTGGACATGAACCCAGCAAGAGAAGAAACACTGCAAAATAAAGAAGATAGATGTGGATGAAGATAAATGTAATTGATACTTGCAGGCAGGATGTAAATTATGAAACAGAAAAGTAGAACCATGCACAGACCTTCCGGTAAAGATATGCTCCCTTAAGCCCAAAATAGTTGGTGTCCGTCGCCCATGATGATACTGAAGAAATTCTTCCAACGTATTTCTCATTTTGAATGCTTCCTCAAAGTAGTTATCCTGTGACAGGCAAATCATAAACAACTCTGCAATACTTCACAATATCAAAAGTGATGAGACAACCCGCATGTTGACAGGCAAATCGTAAAAACTTTGCACTGTACTTCACAATAAATAAAATGATGAGTCAACCTGATTCATGTCTATGGTCTGCAAGGCTTCCCCACGAGTAAAAATAATGGCATGATTTTGATTCTCGGGCTTTCCTTCACCAATCACTGCTGGAGGACCGGGAAGCTTGATGCGGTAAATTTCCTAATGTTGCAACACAGTGGATCATCAATTACTCATCTATTATTCGACAGTGAACCAAAATAAATCATTTTGGAATCCAATGAAAAAAATTCTGAAAGTCATGCTGAAGTGAAAATTGCCTTCCCCACAGATTTGACTTCCTACCTCATCCAACTTATTCCCTCCTTTGACAAGAACAGAATAGTAACTCTTTGTAGATTTTCCATCACTGTTACTGTCCTCTACTTCATCGATATAAGCAACCCGAAGAGAAGGATATCTGCAGTAATTAACAAACTTCTGTCAGTACTGTAAAGTTTAAACCATTAATTGCAGTTATTCATTGAACTTCAAAGCTCCATTCTTACGTTAGCAAGAGAGAAAGAATGTTAACGTAATGACTACGCTGTTCAGAAACACTGGATTTCTTCTGAGCGCCATAGATCTGACAAGACACAACATAGGTAAACTTCATATCTGCCAAAGCCTTTGAATCCCGCCTTAGCTTTCTTTGGACATCGTTATCTCTTGAGCGGTAGCCAGCAAAAATTTCTGCCAATGAAATGTACAACTTGCATTTAGTTTGTGCTGGATCCTGTGACAATTTACTCATCCTTTGGTATACATACAGTATAGCAAAACATGGATTAAAAAGTAAGCAACCTCGATCTTTGGCAGAATCCAGAAAGCATTGGAGTTCGAGAGCATGCCTGTAGTACATCATCCCTCTAACTGGAGTCCCCATGCAAACCAAGAAAGTGGTAAAATTAAAAGATGCTTAATCATGATCTAATATGTGTAAAAAAATAAATAAGTAAAAAATGCAAGAACCTGTCCTAGAAAGTGTCTGCCCCCGGTAGGATACCCACTCGCGAATCAAATCTGTCCTATCTTTCTCAGAATAACCGAAATTTGGATCTTTCATTCTTTGCTCAAAATTTTTCCATTGATCTATGATGAAGGAAACACAAAATTATGTAAACCTTTGCATCATTCTTTATAAGGGAAAACAGCTACATTGATGTCATTGTAACTGACCTGGGTATATCTTCTGGAGGTAAAACAGAATTGTAATGCCATCTTCATTTTCCTCATTAAGCTTATCTTCGGAATAGAGAACGTCTTCATTATAATATGGGGTCAATACACTGAAACACAAAAAAATGGGTTAAGCTTGTGTTCCAGAACAGTAAGCCAGGGCTACAGTCTCCAACTTCTTCACAGTCACATGCGTACAAATGGCCACTAGAAAGGACGTGAAACAACCAAAGTGATTGAACAAACAACAAAAAGAGGCTCCGAGAATGGAACTAAGAAGTACCAATAACAAAACTCAGAACACTGCGAGCAATGTTTTGTGGACCGAAAACAAAAGAGTCATTGACCAAAATGCAAAACTGCTCATTTAATGAACCCTATCCTGAACCCTGGAATGGGTATAAATTTTCTCAAACACATTTCAGGGTTCCTAAAGCAGTTAATGATCCATGTGAACATTTTTCATTCGGTTACCCGTGCTCCTTCAGTGTTACATCATCATAATTTTTATCTATATATAGTTTCTGAGAGGACCACGGAACTCGAGCTCAAACTGTTCAAGCAAACTAATACCAAAACAGAATTTTCCAGAAGTTGCTGCAATCTGTTTTTATTTAAGGTTAAAATCCCTAACTTAAAGAAAATATATATATTATATATTGTCTTGGCAGCAAGCATACAGTAGGCCTTGTGTATTGGGAGATTCATTAACTTATAACCTGTAATAAGCAGGATCAAACAAGCAATATTCTAGCCAGGCTGGTGTTGAAGTAAAAAAATATATATATTTTTTCAATATTCTTGCAACCAGTAAGTAGAAGTCAAAAACAAAGTGCCTTTTAATTTAATCACTAAAAATTTATCTGTATCCATAGCTTTTCTCTGGCAGTTTACCACGGAGAACCAAGATTTAAACAGGGGAAACAGATAGTCACAAAGTAATCCACCAACTTAATTTCTTGAGCAGATTAATTGAACTGACCTAAAAGATAGCATATTCCGAACTTTGGGAGCAGGCGGCATCTTCATGAAAAGGGAGTTTGCAAAGAATGTGATGCGGCGACGAGCATCTAAATCAGTAGGAACATTTATTGCAGATTCCTTCACATTCAGAAGCAAATGGAGTCTGACAGCCTGAGGGGAGTTGTGACCCAGAAGAAATAAGAATATATATATATATATATATATAAAATAAAAAAGATGAAGAGGGAGAAGAAGGATCAGTAAAGCAAAGAGGAAACCAAAGTTGGACAGTCAAAAACCTTTTCTCTCCAAGATCTGTTTTCAGTGAGTTCAAAGTTTATATTTTCAAACCTCTGCTCTTTTCTGTCACTCTGGGGGCCCAGAGGAACTCTCTTCAAGATTCTACACAAAAACCAGCCAGAGTCATGCAACAAACTTGGGGTATTCCTGATCTAGACTTTATTAAATACATTATTTTGTCCCAAAAAAAAAAAGAGAGAAGTAAAAAGAAGCCACTTTCTGAAATGCTACTCACTCATGTCCGTTATTCATAATGTCATGAGTGATAATCTCCATAATATCCTGAATAACATTCACAACTTGGGACCTGTGATTCACCACATCTTCATAATCTGATATCTGTAAACAGAATCACAAGAAAAGCCACAAAGATATCTCTTTTGAGAATTGTTAAGTAATGACTTGCGAGCTAAGAGAAGAGGAAACGAACAATAGGAAGACTCACCAAATGGGATAGAAGTTTCTGAAATTTCTCACTTAGAGAAACCAACCCACTCATTCGAAACTCATTTAAGAATCTCCCTTGTTCTATGCTAACTTTTACCTCAGTGCATATATCTGTAATGATCCTGAAATAGCACAAAAGATCTCGTCACAGGAATCGTTAGGTGAGATAGATGGCCAAGGAAAATTCTTCTATCCTAGAGAAAGAACTTGGCCCTTAAACTCAACAATTCCTTAATGTGCCTTACTGTTGATCATCTTTATCTCTGACAAGATTGTACAAAATAAATGTTAGAGTCTCATAGCATTCAATGACTGCTGACTCCATAAAAGGATCATTTGTGATCTTCTTGAAGAGGTCCACATCATCCTTTCCTTTATGATCTTGTGCCATGTCAATTGCTATTGGAATCTAATAACAAATAGAAGTGCAAGATAAGCAGTAAATAGGGATATTGCATTGCTAATGCAAGACCCACAATGTAATAATCATTTACCTTACTAGCGAGCAAGAATGGTGGCCACTGGATAACTGAAATGTCACTTGCTGAATAGGGTACTAAAAGCATATCTCTCTCGCTGGCGATATCATATCAACATTACAAAATACAGTTATAAATCTTAAAATAATTGTATAATTAAAAGCTATTAGAACCAGTCTCAAAAAAAATAAAGCTCTCTTCCTGGAATTTTAATTTCACAACTAGCTAATCAAGAGGAGATAATAGCAAATGTTATACAATATCACAGAACCTAATCTCCTATGTTATAACCTGTTGCTGATCAAATCCTCCATTCGCATAGACAGTATGAACTCATTCCACATCTGCGAAAATTTGGCAACACTTCTTGGATCCAATGGAAGATCCTGCCAGAACTCTTTCTGTCTCAGTCAAAATTATAACAGCATCCAGATAGTAAAAAATGAATATACATACATATATACACACACACATACATACATATATATATATGTATCTTACAAATCGTGTGTTTGTATATAACATTACTAGTCCCAGTGTGATAACAAAGCACCTGGAGTGCATTACCTTTCTACGCTGTTTAAATTCCTCTCTTGTTGATGGCACAAGCCAGAGATTGAATGCTCGAGGAATAGATCCAAACCTTGACCTTAACATCCCCAGCGTTCTTATCTAAAGATTAAAGATGAAAAGATAAACAGGAATGATCTTAGAATCAAAATTATAAAGTAACTATGAAGAAAATAAGAACAAACCAACTTGACAGCTTTTGGGCACGAGTGTTTCCAACTCAATATCAAGGATAAATGATTTTGGGGCAGCTACCACTCATAATCAGAGAAAGCACATACCTCGCCGAGGTGACTGAAAGCTCCTGATATACCACCAACAATTGTTGAAAATATAGCATACCATATTTGTGTATCCATGAGATAAACCTAGAGATCAATCAAATATTTAAGTACTTCTTGGAATATGCCGACGCACACGAAACCTTTTAAGAGTTTCTCCTTGTTACTTACCAGGATGATTGGAACCCAGATCGCGATCACAACACCAATGTTATGAGTAACTGCACCATGTACAATTGCAACTTCTAGTTAAAATGGCAAAACAATGAAAACAGATGAAATATAATGAAATTCTAACATTTCTAGTGAGGCACAAGAACATCACCATTAGGAAAGAATTCGTGCCATTCATAATTGCCAACCCTTAGAGCCATTATGATCTTTGTTGGTCCAACCAAAGGCAATATCTAATTATGCAAGAAACAGAATTGGAGAAAAGTTAGACATGAGCAGTTTGATATGCCAATTCAAAAAGCAACAAGCCATGGTCAACAACGGGAGCTAATAAGAGCTGCCATGTTCTTTTTGTTTCAGGACAGTAGCCACAAAAGAATGACTTTGTTCAGAGTTGGGTCTAGAGATCAGAAGATGTGGCCAGCAGTTCGAAGCCCCATGATTATTTTGAGATATACGGCCCACAGGGTCAAAATTACACCGATCTTGGATCCAACCACATTTCTGGCAGCCTGATGACTGATGCCTTGATTTGGGTGAAAGTTGTTTGTGCAAAAAACAGCCTGCCTTAATGTAGTAGTCGTTCACAGGTTTCTTTTTTCTTTTTTCTTTTTTTTCTCCCAAAAAATTATTGATTATAGTCTAAAGAATAACAATTGATAAAGGAGCGCATTACCAACCTCAACATAGTAGCTGAAAGCTAGCTTGCTTATCAACAGCAGGATCCAGAATAATGTGTATCTGAGGAGAGACAAAGTTTCAACTATTTTGGTTCAAGAAAAGTAGCAAATACATTCCCAAACCTAATTCGCCCCACCCTAACCTTTCATCTAACTAAAAATTCTTGCCCCATTACATGAACAAGATCTGTAGTCATGTCTCCACATAAACAGAACTATGTAGAATCTTGTCTTTTCAAGCAGGATGGAATAGTTGCTCGTAAGGAAGGCAATTATTGTTTCTTACCTCAGAAGAGAGAACATATCCTCATGCATTCCCCTTCCAACATATAGCTTTGGCTGAAATAGAGAGGTAGATGTAAGACTATACATAGGACTACAAATTAAGGGTACAAAGATCAGTTTATTCTTACTTGGGCCCACCACATCAGTGCTATGAAAATGAAAGAGTTGGAACGTTCCAGGGTTTTCCGCAAGTACGGCACAAGGAACAATATCACAGCCAATATGTTGGGTATCAAGTAGAGTACGACGCAGTAGTTATAGAGTGACTGATGAAGCCAAGATCCTCCTAGAGAACTAAAAAACCTGACGAGTCCAGTCGGATTGTCAACAGATCTAGAGTATGCAACAGGCATAAGGACGACCCAGAAAGCAGCCATTGCAAATTTTAGGAGGTAGCGAAGTATCTGATTAAACTTTAGGCTTCTCCATGCATTCAAACTTAGAGCTATATCTAGAGTAGCTGCAAAAGTAACGGAAGACGTTATGCATACTCGAGAATAGATATTGCATAATATCACACAGAAGAACATCTTTGTCCTTTTCGTATAACCAAAAATAAAACAAAAAATTACCACCAACATGCTACAATAATGAGAGCACCACATATACCAAATAACTAACAAAAATACTCCCACTAGTTGCGAAAAGATTTACAGTTGATACCTCGCAGAAAATTTAGAACTGCACCAGTGATAAAAATGCTTAAAACACTTCGAAAGACATCTGGGTCGAAGATTGCAGCTAAGGATCCGTCCTCATGCCAAGCAATAATAATCATTGCCTACAAAGATAAATAAAAAGTTAAAAAAATCGCGGTGAAAGAAAACGATCACTCAGCTACTACTATAATGTCAGTTTTAACAAGGAAAGTACATGCGTTTTGCCTGAAAGTACCATAACTAGAATTGCGGCTAAAAATTAATAGATCCAGGTCTCTCGCTATGCATCTCCCGTCATACATCACATTCTCATGTTGTCCCCTTTCCCGCTTTTGTACCCATGAATACTCTTTTGAGATTTTTTCAGAAGTAAAAAACTGGGAATAATATAGGCTTGTCACCGTTTGATCACTAGAAGATATACTCATCTTCAGGATGTAGCGAAAGGCATCATAAAATCAGCCAAAGGTGCTTTCTGTAGGCTCAAAACCTTAACCTCCTAGAAACTTGTATGAAGTAGGTGAATTTCATTTATATAAAAGTGAAAAAAAAAAAAAAAAATCACTACTCTGCGCATTTAGATAGTTCAAGGATTTGCTTGGTTTTCAAAGGTACATACCAACAATGTCCATGAACTTCAGCAAAAAAAGTACTAAGCACTTCATAGATTACTAGTTACATTCATGTGAGAAAGAATACCTACCCAAACCAAGGGATTTACTAAATTTACATAGGTATACATCTAGCAGGACAATTTCTGGTTGAAAACAATATTTTTTTCTTCTTCATGCATTCATTGACCTCTCTCTTCTCACAATATCAGAGTTCTTCCCAACACAAGTTAAAGCATAAAACATGAAATAACTGAATATTCAGGTTGCCCTAACTTATACCTGAAGAGCCAAGATGAAAAAGATCCATAATCTGTCAAAACTTCGATAAAGGTGCCAAAATGTTCGGATTTCAACAAAATTTGTTTTCGGCTTCCGTCTTCCAGCGGTAACATTGTTTCCACCCTGCTGCAAATAGATACACATATTGTGTCAGTTATAAACATTCAATATACTGCGGAGCGAGGGGGTGTTGGAGGAATACATGAAAACATGTAAGCTCATACATAAGCCACATTTTCAGACTGTTTATAATCCGAATGCACAAAAAAATCTGAACTTTTGTCCATTGGCCATCCCAACTTAAAACATTTTCCAGACCTGAAAAAAAAGAGGGGCAAACAACAAATCAAAATACCACACTAGGGCATAGACCTCAGAATCAACTCTATAGATTAGCAAATTACCAAAAGTACTCATTCAAGTCATCGTAGTTTCTCCATTGAGCATGGCTTGCTTTGCCCTTTTTGTTTCTCATGGCTTCCTTTTCCAGTAAAAATAGTCTAGTTAGAAACAAATCAATCCGGGAACAAAAGGAAAAGTTAGCAGCAAAATTAGTCACCTTCCTCAGGACCTCGTACAATGGAGTTATAACCTCCTGCAGGAAATGCCCCTCAGCACGTGATGCCACTTGATATGAACCTCCAGTAACAGTATGAGTATCACTAAATAAAATCCCATGCACCTCATTTGCCATCTTCAATTAGAAAGCAAATAATCACGATCATTTCTGACAAAAAAGAAAAAAAAGAAAAAAGAAGAGAAAAATACCCAACAAATATTGTAGTCACTAACTTCTAGGGAAGATACCTATCTGATACTTAAGTCTTGAAGAAATTTTGGAAAAGAATAATTGTAGTCGCGAAAAGAATTGATTCCTGAAGCCGTGAAGTGTATGGGTCTACTTTTAAAATGAAGCACTGAATTAACAGTGAAATCTTCAAGAGCAATACTACAGTCGAACCATTTTACTGATTACATCTTCACATCTCTAACTAATGGTCAAGCAAATTTTTAATAGAGAGAGCTCACAATTAAAGGTTTAGCCACTTAATTCTTTTCACTGAATCATTTTAAAAACAAACAGGGAGGGTAAAGTAAATTTAAAACTCCTCCGATTTAGACTAGAAAGTAAATAGAAAATGAAATCACAACAACTTAACCAGAAAAGGTTCCACCCACATATGAAGAAAAAGTTGAAATACGCTGGACAATCCAATTTGAATTTAATTTGAGAACTAAATTGAGATGAGATGAGACAAAAATAGTTATTTTCTTCTTCTTTTTTTTTAACTCTACCAGTACTCGAAAAAAAAATCAAAAACAAGAAGAAAAGTTTATTTTTGAAAAACAAAAAAGAAGATTAAAATCATTCAAGAAAAGAGACACAAAAGAGTCATAGATTTTGAATTCTTCTGACAATGTATCTCAGAAAACTACTAAAATAAAATAAAATAACTGGATTAACAAAATAAAATCACCAAGTGAGAAAACACATACATTGTGGAAAATATAGCAAATGCACTCTGGCATAAATCTGATATTTGAAGCTTCACCCCATATAAGAAGATATAGGCTAATGTACAGAAGCTGCAACTGTTGCTTATTAGCACCACGAGGAAATCTGAATCATAATAGAAAGTAAGATTCAAGGAGAAAAAAAAATGACAGGTGATTTTACATTCTCAACATAAAGTAGCGGCACTTTCTGGGCTCCAAGTAGGATCTTACAAGAGATTATGCGTACGGTGTAGATATTTGCACCATGACTGATAATTTTTGAAGATTTTATCCAGAAGCTTCTGAACAGTGATATCATCCAACTGCAACGATTAATTTTTGTTAACTCTAAAAGCATGAGTAGAAAAGACTGGAACAAGCAAATACGGAGAAGTGAAAACAAAAAGTTTGTGCTACAGTTATAACAGCATTCATGTTAGAGACTTTACCAGATCATAATGTTCTTCATCCCTATCTCGTATGTCCATATTTGCCAGCAACAGAATCAAGTGTTCACGCTGATTTGCAACATTTCCTTTCTTTGTTCCATAGTGACGAGGTCACAGAACATAGTCAGATTAAATGATTCATCATAGACGATGCAAGACAAGTTTATAAGAGTACACAAATTATCAGGAAGCTAAGCTTCAGACTCAAAAGAAAATTGCAATAAGAGTGGCCCCGAATATCTTCTATTCTATGAGTTTTAATGAACCAGATGGGGGACATTATTCTACCACCGCTCTCGAACATGACTAGGTCAAACTAAATGTACAAAGAGTGGAAGAACGAAAGCAACCCAATGTTATAAACTAAATTGAGCATCTAGCTAGGTTAAATTTCTCATGAGACCAAGCCAAATACACAGAATAACCTTGGAGTCATGCCTGTACTCAAAGCTTTTACTAGGTCAACCAAACCTTAGCATCAAACTCAACACCAACAAGCTGCAAGCTACGTGGCCCGGGGATCTCAGTGGTAACAAAATGGCTTTCAGGGAAACTGATATGGGAGATTCTTATAAGAATCAATTGCAATGCAAACATAAAAGAAGATAATTTTTCATAATAAACTAAGTTTGTCATTGAAGAGGTTATTTTATAAACAGTCATACATATGTATAATGTACATTTTAACCATATAGGGCAACTACTTATAGAATATTTTCTAAAGTCCAGCATCAAGGTAACAAACTACTTACAAGGGAAATTTCTGATTTTATAGTTAACAGTAAAAAAAAAAAAAACTATTCATGAATCATAAGCCTGTTAAGTGGTGGAAGTTAATTAGGTTCTTTATGCCTGTAAACTCCTGTAAAACATAATAAAAAAGAAAAAGAAACAGCAATAGCTGATGAAAGAAAGAAGTGCAGAAAGCAGAAGCATAAGAATAAGTTCTGAAGCTTTACCTGAAAGCCAAACACCAGATAAAGCCATTCAAGAATATCATTAATTGATTTATACTTGTTCTCAGGCAACCTGATCACAGGAAGATTTTCCACATTCTGCAGAGCTCGATGTGCTGCTTTAATCTAGACATTTTTGCATGAAAATATAAATTAGTAAGAAGGAGAGAAATACAGAGTATGAGTGCATTATAGCATTACATATTAAAACTAAAACAGAAAGTTCTTTGGTGCAGAACCTCAGGGAGTTCCATAATTGCAGGTTTAACACCAATAGCATACAAAGGAAGAATGTTGTAGTGCTTATATTGTTCTCTCTTCTCCTGAACATCTTCAGCATACCTACGTGTCTACAAGCATCAAGAAATTAATGACAAGACTGCATATTTGATTAGAAACTGTTTCAATCTCCTAAATAACTACAAAAAAGAAGAAGAAGAAGAAGAAGAAGAAGAAGAAGAAGAAGAAGAAGAGGAAGATGAAGAAGAATAAAACTATAAATCACACAACTCAAACCTCTTGGTCAATTTTCCCGGGAGGTATAACAGTCATAAGCATGTCATACAACACTGCAGCAATTTGAAGAATCTTAGCCATATCCTCCCTACAAGTAGAAAATCGAAAAGTAGTATATATCTTATAATCATAGAGAAAAATGAATATATTCACCAGAGTAAACAAAGGTCAGCGTTGCTATCGAAGACTTACGGCTTTTTGGTATATTGACCCTCTTTGATATTTTTCTCATAGTAATTCTTGTAGTATCTTAACACTTCTCTAGGATCAGTCGCTGTTGCCCCAGTAGCTACTTCATCCTGGAATCAGCAACAATTATTGCAAGCCTAAGTCTCAGTGTATACCATCCTCATGATATATGTATCAGCTTACAGCTCGAAAAGAATAACTGGATCTTGTACAACTAGATTCTATAGGTGTACATTATCAGCTGCCTCATAAGTTGCAATGCTAACATTTACAGCTTGAAGTGTTGAAATGCATATTCATATGAACTCTGTTAAAACCTCTGGTCTCATGGTAAACATTGGAATAAGACAAAGGGTACACAAAAATGTAATCAAGAAAAGAAATGAGATGCTTGAAAAACTCAATGGTGAGGGTCTGCAATTCATGAAATCACAAAGCTTTTCACTAAAATCATACAATTGATCAAGAATTCAACACCTCAAAAGAAGTTCATAAAATAGGTTCTACCCTTTCAAGTTTTCGTAACAGGTAGGTCTTAAACTGACGAACACCACGCCCAGTTGAATTGGGATCCATCCTATGAGCCTTTTCAAATGCATGGAAGCGACCTATTACAAAGAAAAATAAGAAAATTGAGGAGAAAGGAAGGAGGATTTGAAAAACTATCTAAGCAATTTACTTACAAACTTGCCCCTTGGACCAACTAAACAAAACTTGGCAAAAAGACATGTAAAAAGTAGGAAAGGAAACAACTAAAAGAAAGCCTAAGCCTAACAAAATGTTTGTACAAATTTAAATGCCAAGATTCCGAAAATTGTATGTCAACTTACCTGCTCTGAAAGACCGTGAAATGACAGCGGACTTTGGTCCGCCATTTATTGATAAAATTGTTTCTCACAACCTAGAATAGGTACTATGGCTTTCTAAAGTTTCTTTGCTAAGAAACTAGGAATAGAATAGGTATTATGGCTTTCCGAAATTTCTTAGCTAAAAAACTAAGTATTTAATTTGTTTCTACTTATCTTTTACCAGGGATTACTACTCATGCAAGATTGCAGAAGCAGTAACAAAAAACTTAAGTACAAGAGTCAGATTGATAAACAAAATCTATACAGTAAGCTATAGCTGATTGTCAGACATCTTAGATTTCCCCTTCTGAAAGTATCAACAAGAATATGAAGGTACCCACAATTTCTTTTCAATCTGCTGATCGAACATATATTACCAGATCAGAGTATTACTTTTTGGAGGCCTTCCAAAAATTTTGTGCAGGGGAATGATATGTCAACTAGAAGGATCATTCTTTTAACAAAGAGAAGTTAATGTGATAATGTCACTGATGAGTTTAACAAAATGAACCAAAGAAAGAAGGGGGGAAATGCAAAAGTAAGAGCCAGAAATGTTCCCATTTTCACAGAAGAATAAAAGAGATCATCAATCAATCTTCAAAGCACAATGCGGCTGAAACAAATTGTAGTACACTGTTCTAGTGGAATACCAAAACAGAAGACGCCCTCAAAGTCACTTACATTTGGCACCGTCAAAGTCAAAACAAACACTATAATCTAACTCCATAACTAATAACACACGTATATAAATATTCATTCCAATCACAAATGAAAGGCAGTTGATCATATCACAGAATTCAAGTCCCACATAGGCATTTTATTCAACACATTCAAAAGTTTATTTAGTCTAGACAGCTATGGAGCAAACAGCAAACATCCCAATTCTCCCCCAACAAAGGCATTTTTATTACCTCAACTGAATCAAAACTTTCCAACTAGTTAACATTACAACTTACACAAGTAAGCAATCTTGGGATTGTCCTCTTCAATCTCATTAGCCACCCTGAGAATAGGAGCAATGGGGGCCAAAGCCGAGGGCACCATTTCACTATCAGCAACCCGGCCATCCACATCATTAGGGTCCAGATAAGTGGGAAGCCTGGTAAATGTCCTAGACAATTGCCTCTGGGGTCCCCTGACTTCCACGTCCTGATTCTTCGTCCCACTCGAACTCGCCATTGATGAATGTGATAATGATGAATGAGCATCACCCTCCTAACCCTCTCAAGAGTAATCTTCAAGAAAGTACAAAAAATTTCCATCTTTACAATAAAATGAGAGCTTATATACATTGTTAAGGAAGAGGAAAGGATTGTGAGGAAGAAAAGGTAGATACTTTGGAGCAAGAGTGGGGGCAAATGGGGTGTCTTTTTCTTTGGGTTTTCTCTAGAAACAAGAAAGGAATTCTGGGTGGGTTTTTTTGGGTTAATTTTTTTGCTTTTATGAATCATTGAGATTTGCGTCGGCATTTTTTTGATTGATTATTAATCTGCAATATATATATTTATCAGAAGACATGAAAAAAGCAGGGGGAGAAGAGGCGTATCATGGGATAAAGAATCACAATCTATTGGAGCTTTTTTGTCAGTCTCATGGAACTGTGGGTTAAATCTCTCTTTTTTTTCTGCTTTATGGGGCAAATGTTGGGGGAAACTGGTGGGAAGTGAAGAATGACAGAAGCACCTTCTTTTTAATTTGATTTTGGTGCGTTTTCTTTTTCTGTGTTTGGACTTTGGATTGCTTAGCCAGTCCAACAATGAACAGTCAAACCTCGGACCGGCCATCATCACCACCGTACGGCTCTGAGATTCATAATCCATCCCCTTTTATACCATCAGCGGCCTCGCGTTTGAAATTGGACCTTTCCTCTATATCCAATTTTGTTTGCTAATGATTTTTTTTTTAAAGCCATTGTTAGTATATTAGGAAAAAGAAAACATCAAAAAACAACTATATACATTGAGCTACCATAACTTAGAGCATGTTTGATAAAAATTAGTGTTTAATTATGAATTCTTAATACTGAATTAGAATTGTTGAATTCATTAAGTAATAAAATAATTTTTATTCTTATACTAGATGCTACCCATGCGTTGCACGGGGCAAAAATATCGCAATTTAAATAAGTATAATTAGGCCTGGCAATCCATGTCGGGTTCGGATTAGCGTGTCGGGTCGAACCCGAACCCGAAAAAATTTAGGTTAACCCGAACCCGACCTGAATAAATAAATAGGTTCAATATTATAACCCTAACCTGACTTGAAAATATATGGATAACACACGACCCAACCCGTAAATCCATGAAAAAATTGTCTTAAACAAAAATAAGTCAGTAAAATCTCACCCTCACCAAAATCACGAATGATCGCTCCTCGCTCAACCAAAATGGATAAAAACCATATAAATCTGATCGCATAAAATGAAACAACCACAACACCACAAGGTTTAACACTCAAAAATTCACCAAATATAGAACTCCAATAGTCATCCACGAGCAACAAATGAAATGAGAACCATATTTCACTAAAAAAAAAAAGCTCAAAATTTGCGGGGACTGCAAATCATTTTTTTCCGGTCCAAATCCGGGTCAAATTAACAAAAGGGGTGCTAACCCGGACGCCCAACCACGCACGACAGAAACTTCTTTGGCCGAACCCAAAGGGAGAAAGACTTTAATAAAATTTTCAGAAAAAATTAGCAAAAGAAATTGACAAAGAAAATTTAGGCGAGTGTCGATTTCTTTGTTGTTGCTTCCGCTCTTTACTGAATTTCGTATTATCCCCATTTAAAAATTCTCAACTGGGGAGTCTTTCTAGACTAGATCCGGTAGGAGCAGGGCCAAGACTAGAACTTAACTGAAAGCAAGGAGAGAGGCTCGGGGGCGATTGAAGCCAGCTCCCAATGAGTAATATAACAAAGTGAAAATTGGAGGATTTTTGGTGTTTTTTATATTTTAGCTTCACACTTGCGGCAGAAACTAGAGAGAAAGGAGAAGAACGGCGGCTGAAGAAGTAAATGGGTAAGGGATGGATTTATTAGATTAAGGTAATTTCATCTGAATTTCCATTATTACCCGTATAAAACAACATAAATGACTAAACAACCAACATATATGGGTCACCCGGATAACCCGACAGGTTGACCCGAACCCGACCCGTATAATAAACAGGTCAACTATAACCCGACCTATTTATTATATGGGTTCAAAAATCCCAACCCGAATCCGATTATTTTGTATCGGGTTCGTGTCGAAATTTCGAGTCGTATCGGAGATTGCCAGCCCTAAGTATAATGAAATAAAGAAATGTTTGGAAAAAACGTATATAATACAGATTTCAAACATCGTTAATCATGAATCAATTAGTGTTCAAAAAATGTAGTTAGTGTTCAAATAATGCACCATATAAGGAATAGAGAAATATTCAAATAAATTGTGGGACTTTATTTGGACACCAAATTAAAAAATTATTAGAAAAAAAAAATTTTAAATTTGAATTACATATATCATAAATTTGAACACTTTTTTGTAACAACATTTATAGTTTGTATTTCACATCACCGTTTTGATCACATAGTATTACTTTAATTCATTGTGTTGAACTAACCAATTCATGACCGAATACGGAACGTGATATATATAATCTAACTTGGACTGGACCTCACTTTCATTTATCGTCATTGATAAACAAATGACAAAAAAACGTGTCTTCATTTTGTACTGAACCGCAATTTCAAATTTCATTTCACTTTTATACAATGTTCAACTATACAGTTAGACCATTTTTAGATGGAGGTATCTTTTTAATTCCTGCAGCCCCGCGTTAAAATTCTTCCATCTGCACATTACTTGAAGATCTTTACCAATCTATTGCCGTGGGATATAACCATTATCCTCTTCGACGGGTGATTCTTGAAAGTTGTAAGTCAAGTGGTAATTGAGGTGAAAAAACCAAAATAACCTCCTCGCACCTTTGGGAAAAAAAAATTACCTCTCGTTGCCTTCTTCCTTTGTTTGCTTTTAGTTTAAAATACTAATCTTGAGTGACCTGAAATTATGGTAGATTACTGCAAACTGTAAAAGCTTTTTCTTAAAAAAATAATCAGTTAAATAAGTTACCATCTAAAGATATTCCTAATTAATTATGTCATAGAGAAAATTAGCAATAATAATAGGTCTATACTTTTAAGGAGAAAGTTTGTGTAAATTAGTATGTCATAAAAAAGAAAAAACTAAAATCAAATCTTGAAGAAAAAATGCAACATTCAATCCAAATAACCTACCCGATTTGAAGTATGATAATGTACTGCATAAACACAAACTAATGGGGGAACAAAAGGGACATTAAACTATAACATAGTAGTGTCTGGAAACCGAGAATGTATTATGAAAATCCCTCTATTGAAAATTTAACCTGCGAAAAAAGAAGAAAAAAGAAAATTTCAATCCAGACTATATTAATTGAAACAATGAAACGAAATAGGGAAATACTACTACATTTAATCGAATTGATCATATTGAGACCTTCTATGCTAATGAAGTAGAAAACATGCTGGAAGAAGAAAAGAGAAAAAAAAAAGATGATAAAAATGAAACATAATCACCCCGAGTGTTTGCACTTTATAAATTTTTTTATCAATAATTAAAATTCCCAAAATTTCTCAAAAGATAAGGAATACAAATCTCTCATAAGAATCTATTTGAAATTCTCTCTGTTGTATATCTCTCATAAGTTCAATATATTTATTTCAATATTCCAATATTAAGTAAATTTTGAGATATATAAGAGAGATTTTAGGGATTACATTTCATAGTTACCAACATCCATCTTGTTTTCAATTTTCAAAATCAAATTCTTAACCAAAGATATAATTTTTTTCCTTTTTAATAAATCAAAAAATAGAAAAAATTGCCAGTCCTACGTGTCAAGTGGAAAACTATTCCAGTTTCCCCTCTCTGGGTTTTCTATTATTATATTATATAGATAGATTTTGTATTACAGTTTCAGCACCACTTAATTCATTAAGATGTTCATTTTTTGTTATCAAACACGCTGAATTGAAAAAGTACTTAATCTAATAATTTTAAGCATTAAGTGGCTTTATTAAACAGACCCTTAGACTTAGTGCATGTTTGATAAATCCACTTAATGCTTATATTAGATTAAGTATTTTTTCATTTTAGCATGTTTGATAACAAAAAAATAAACATGCAGTAGAAAATATATAAAATAAAAGTTAACTTATTCCTTATTATGTAACTGATAATGAATTCATTATTTTTAATTCGATATCAACCATTCAGAATTAAACAAAATTTTTTTATCAAACAAGCTCTAACGCAATTTATCTTTAACTTTATACGTGATTATGAAAAATTAAATAAATCCAATACCGTATCCAGAATTAGGCTTAACTAATATAAATAAATTGTAATAACATTTCTAATTACACTAGAAAGATACACCGGAAAACTTCCCAGGCAATTAAAACTGTCACAAACAAAATCAGCTAATCCAATGAAAACAAGTATTACATAACTTTATCTTTCTCAGAGAGCTACATCATCTAAAGTATATAAAAAAAACCAAAAAGAGTTGTGGTGGAGTGGTAAGGACTCCTCCACTCTTAACCATAGGTCGAGAGTTCAAATCTTGCCATGGGCATGGAACAACCTTAGATCCTTTGGCCAGCTCTTCCACTCATCGAGGTACATATCATGAGCGAAGGGTATTAGTCACTGTTACCTACGTGTATTGCAGTATGAAAAATAAAAAATAAAAAATAAAAAATAAAAATCTAAAGTATATAAAATAATAATAAAAAATCCTGCAATATGCAAAGTTAAATAAATAAATAAATAAATTAAAGTGATCACTTTATAAAATAATAATAAAAATCATGCAATATTCATTCGTATCCGAGGTCTTCATTATCCATATAAATATAAATATATTTATACTATTTGTATAATGTGCCGCTTATTACAGTGATCACTTTATCCAAAATTTATAATTTTTATGCAATTAATATAGCGAAATGTGCTATTTTAAGCGGTATAACATGTATATGACGTAATTAAACATTACGTGAGATATCACTAAAATTATGCAGAATGCCTAAAATTATACAGAATGCTTTCTGATCTAAGTTTTCCATTATTCACAGAAAATATATTCTTTTAATGTCGCTTTTTTTTTTTGTTGGTCACCTTATAGCATAATAATTAGGTTTTCTCCCGTACCTTGCAGATTGTGTTAAAATGTATCATCAAGACGATTATTAGTTGTGAAAAAATGCCATATACTCGATTAAATGGTTGATTGTAAAATTTAATCCAAAAAAAAAGTGTTACAAAGAATAAGCCAACAATAAAAAATGAGTTAAAAAGACATGATGAAAATTAAATGATATTAATATTATTATTATTATAATTTAATTTTTTTAAAGTTTAAATATAAGAAGAATGTTTATTTGGATTTTTTTTCGTAATTTTACTCGCGAGATTTCAACATTTTTTAATGAGATTGACATTAAAGTCATTGAGTTTGAATACAAAAATGTCTTACTTGGTTTTTTCTTGTAATTTCAGATGTGAAGTTTTAATATTTTTTTTAATGAGATTGGCATTAGAATGATTGAATTTAAATGTAAGGAGAATATATTGTTTGGATATTTCTTAAGTGTATATGTGAGGTTTTAGTTTTTTTTACCATAAACGGCGTTTTTGGAGGGGGGCAAGAAAATATTGAAATAGAGTTTAATATCGTAATATATATAAGTAAATTTCTCCATCTTACAAAAGGGTGAACTGATTTTTATATGTATTTGTATTAGGAATCTGTTTTTATGTGTATTGGTTTTATTTATTTTTTTTATAAAATCAAAACGATATAATTTTGACTTAAGGTATTTTGCAGTGAAAATTTTTTAATCACAATGCGATCCCTCAATATATGTTTTCTCTTGGTCTGTTAATAGGATATATTGATTTTCGTCCGATTAATGAATATGCCAAAATGCACCATCTTATTGGTTAATATGTCAAAATGTACCATCTTATTTAATTAAATAGTTATCAAAATCAAAGGCTTACCTAAATGTGTTTTATTTATCTTTTATGAGAAAGATATACTATAGTACTCAAATGTTGTGTAAAATCAGAATTATTGTATTATTTTTTATAATAGTCTCTTCAATAAAATCGACATATTTTCTTTATGTAAGGGGTTTCCACAATTTAGAGGTGATGAAAGTCTCCTGCTGTGAATAAGAAAAGGGGTAAAAAAAAAAAGAAAAGAAAATCGATATATTTTGTTTCAGAAAAGAATAAAGGGTGTATATTACAACGCTTTCAGGTTTCGTCAAATAAACTCATCATAAGAAGTTACAGAAGTGGAAGGACTTGGGCACAGAATATTCAAAAGTCGAAATCTTTGAGGATATAAGATGAGCAGCGTAATGCAAAACCCGAACCAAAAATCGTACCCAAACCCGAATATAAACCACGCATCGAGCCCAAACCCACATCCAAAACCAGCTCCACTTTCAAATTCCAAGCCCCTGACGTATGATGAAGTCTCCAAGTTGTTCTCTTTGCCACTCGCCGATGCTGCTGATTCTCTCGGTACCTCATACTGCTCTCTCTCTCTGTGTATTAATGTCTGCTTTTTTGTGGGTTCTTTTAGTTTGTTCTTTTTCCTTTTTTGTTTTCGTTAATTTGGCATTGTTATTGTGTTTTTTTGGGTCTTTTTGGTTGTTAGATCTGTTGATAGCAAGCTAAAGTTCAATAGAAGATGGTTAGTACTTGGGATTGTTCTCTTGTTCTAGGTCTACTAGTCAGAGGGTTTAAGAGTTTGGGATGGATAAGTGGCTATCTTTTAACTGCGTTGATTTTCCCCCCACGGGCGGAATTCATAACTAAGCTGCAATGTTGGTAGTTTTTATGTATTCTCCAGTCATTGTCAGCTATCCTCACTTTTGACATCGAATATTTGAGGATTTTCGGCATACGTTTGAATGGTTGAATTTATAGCTTACTATAGACAAGGATTTGAAAACTGGTGTTCTTTTATGACTGCATCTCAAAGCCTGTGGAGTTTGAGTAGCACCAAAGTTGTTTAGGTTAATTTTGTAGGATCATACTTCAAGAAAAGTTGCTGAGAGATGTTTACAAGGACATTGTTGAAAATCTTTATGTTTATCTTGCAGGTCTTAATACAAGCGCTCTGAGGAAGTTTTGCCATGAAAATGGTTTAGCCAGATGGCCATATCGCAAGGTGAACTTACATGCTCTTTGATCTTCTACTTCTCATTGATTGTTGATAAACTAACCCCAATTAGAAATCTGATTCTGTTTCCTAGACTTGTTAAATTGTTAAATATTCTCGATCCTCAGATTGCTTCATATGCAATTGGATTACAATGAAAGAGACTGAATGTCAAATAACAATATGGTTTTTAAAATATCGTTCAATGCTTTAAATCTTCTTGAACTCCCTGGCAAGATTTTACTCAGAAGCTAAATTGCATTTTTGTTGAGTAGATGGTTATAAGCTAAGTTGCATACATGTGGAGGGAAACTGGTACTGACTCCTAGTCTTTGTCCTGTTCAATTAGCTACCCGGACTAGAGGAATAACGAGGCAAAGCACTATTCTCCTAGTTGGAAGCTAGACTCGCGACCTAGTATCAGGAAGCTTGAGTTAATATGGACATGAATATTGTGGGTTTGATATCCTCAAGTGGTACTATTGCATTTGGTGCAATGTCTTAGCTCCAAAAGGCTTGCATGAGTTGTGCATCTTACATTAGCATTGCTTAAGAATGTTGCATCAAAATTGATTGAAAACAAGTCTTCATTTTCTTGTGCATTCTTTGGTAAATTTTTGGTCATGCGCATGTAGCTTCTCTTATTCTTTGGTGTTTGCTTGATGTATAGTTACTTCTTGGAAAGAGTATTGAGCAAGTCAAAGAGGAAACTGCTAGGGAAAGAACCAAGCGACTTAATGAAGGGCTAAAAGATTCTGGGAGAGCACGTGATGATACGAATCCAGCTGCAGCATCGGTTCAGTAAGTGAACACAAAACTTTTGGACCCAATTCTTTTTGAAGTATTCTTCTTGACTTTTTTTCTATCATCTCAAACACCAAATGACTAATTATGGTGACTACTGGGGTATCTAGTTATTCACAGATAAAGGAGGAAAGAGAGAGAGGGAGGGGGGTGTTGGTTGCGCATGGGATGGGGACACAAAAGACAGTGGAGTGATTGCAGAACGTGTTTTGTTATTACTGCACGATATCAACTGATTAGCTGGTTTATCTCTGACCTTTTGTATTGGCTATAGACACAAGTTTTGACTCCTCTGATAGCACAAACTGATGAAGCATCTGGCTCATCTGGCTTCCAGCTGATATTTGAAGGAAAATTATTTTGGTTTCTCCAAACCAATTGCTTCAAGTTACAGATGCTATGCGGTGCTAATTTGATAAATATATATGAGTTAAGTTCCTGCAGCAAAAGATTAATAATAATATTATGTTTTTGATGTTGTATTTTTACATTTTGAAACTGAGTGCTACTTTCATGGTGACTAGCTCTTAGATTATGCTGGAATTACTTGAAAAGAGGTTGCTTTTCATACTCAAATTCCTGATATCACTTATAGGCTTTCACGTTAGTCAGGATTGTGGCATTTTAACAGTTTACTTCTGATGACTGTAGGAGGGAAATCATTTCTTGAGAAAATTTTTTGCTTGTTTACACTCGATTCCAAGACTTTATACCTTACTATCCTCAAGATCATTCTTCTGGTTTTGGAATAATTGCATGATGGTGTAGGAAATATAACTTCAAGTAATTCTTAGTTCAATTTCTGCAGATATCATGTGGAGTAATCCTTTTAATTTTATGTTGACTAGGGGCCTCCAGCTTCATAACAAACCAACGAGCTCCAACCTAGACTTGTTGAAATCGCAAACTGTCATGCAGCCGCAAGGAAATAAGAATCTACAAGTTGCGGTCCCTCAGGTGCAACATGCGGAGACAGATGAATTTATTTTTGGATTTCCCTCTGATGGACTGTCAACTGTTTCATATCGATGGTGGGGAAAGAATAGTTCTGGTGGCAGCATGGACAGCTCCTTAAAATCTGGTAAAGACACCTCGGTGGATAGCAATAGCATTGCTTCAAAGACAGATGGAAAAGACTTGCAAACCAAGGAACGTGATATCAGTACTGGTTCTCCGGAGACAGGTTCACTATCTTCTTTAAGGAAAAGAGCCGCTGAGGAAGGGCGGGAAGCTCTGAAACGCGGCGTTCACCGTAGATTTGATGCAAATAAACTTGATCCGGCAAAGACGCAGGTGCTTCAACAGATTTTCAAGTCTTCACCGTCAACTGAATTAGTTAACGAATCAGTTTAACCTCAAAAGCATGGATGGACTACTTGAGAGTTGAAACATGGAAAGATCTGTTCTGTAGTTGATATGAATACTTTCAGAGCAAACTGGAACGTTGTAATGCGTGCTTTTTAACTACTGGTAATCTTGTAACTACTGGTAATCTTTGTGGTCGGTAGCCAATCGAAGGCAACTAATCTTCACGCATTATTCATTCCGTCCCAAAAAAGAAGTCATACTTATTCCTGCTTATTTTAACAAACCCGACTCTTTCTTTGGTCTTTGGGAGAAATGGACCGTAATCAGAACTATGAGTCTTAACAAAGGTCTAGTGAATAACTGTTATTATTATTATTGTTGTTATTATCCCTTTCATGTCCTTAATTAGTACTTAGATATGCCAATTCTTGTAATAGAACTAATTATGAAAATGTACATTATTTCAGGTTTAGCATTCTGGTTCCCATATTTACATATACACTCCTTTAAAATAAATTGGATAATTATTTTAAGACGGGAGTATTTAGCATCCGAGTGATGAGGTTTCAATGGCCAAATAAATAAGAAAACGTCGGTCAGGTTGTTGTGCAAAGGGAATGAAATAACCAAAAAATAAAAATTAAAAAAAAAGAATAATTGCAGGAATAAATGAATTTACCCTCAAGAAAAGGTGAAAATTTGTAAAATCTGTCACTCTAACTCTCCATGGCTAATCTACTCACCTCACCAATACTCTGTTCAAGACAAAAACAAAGAACCTTTATGCTACCGAAAGGGGGAAAAAAAAGAAAGGAAACAAAACAGTCGAGTGACTTCCACAAAACGTGTTTCGGCCAAAAAAATTTTCAAAAAAGGATGTGGACAAAAATAATTTTTTTTTTTTTATTTTTGGTGGACAAAACTAGTTGTCTCGGATTTGTCAAATCCGAATCTATCCATTTTGTACTAAATTCGAATCTACCCAATAAAATTGATTCATCACATAGTTATAATACAAGGAGATTCGGATTTGCCAAATTCGAATCTAGTACAAAATGGATAGATTCGGATTTGGTAAATTCGAGACAACTAGATTTGTTCACACCATTCCGGAACATATATTTTTGTTCAGGTCCTGCCATTGAAAATTATTTAGGTAAAAAACTCTATAAATTCGACATTATTCAACCATTATAATTTCCAGCCGTTCAATTTTATACAAAAGTAGCCAACGGCTAAGGGGGGAAAAAAAATTCTTCAAAAAAAGAAGAATACAAGACAAATAACTTGGTGCATTCATTCCACGCGAGCTCTAGAAAAAAAAAAAAAACAATTAAGAGTACAAGTTGTAAAAATCCTTTTTAAAACTTGAAGAATAAGCGAAAAAACACTAGTTTTATGTCGGAAATTACAAATTATACATTTGTTACTCATCTCATTAACATAGCTCTACTCAACTAACTAAATTGAGATTCAACTAAATTTCAATAATTAAGATTCAAGAATTTAGTTTCTTTATCTTTGTTGTTTGTTTTTAGCCTCATGGTAATTGAGTCTTGAATGAAAAGGAGAACGATCATTACACCCATGAATTTCAAGGATTGAAAATAATAATAATAATAATAATAATGCACTAGCTCATTAAGGGAACCCCATCAAACTCAAAGGTCCACCATAAAATATACATTTTAGTTCTTGGGATTTCATGGAAATGGGAAACATCATGTATGATATGTCATTTTGCTGATCATAGACCATAACTTTTTTTTTTTATTATTATTAATACTAGTAAGGTTGAAGAACGTGTGGCACGAGTGTTCGTCCGTTCGAGACTTTTATAATGATGAAAGTCACTTAGGTCTTAGGAGATCATTAGCATCGTAAACGTTACAAATGAGACTTTCTTTGGTAAATCATTTTAGCTATCAAATTCTTTGGTTTTAATTTTGAACCTTTTAACTTCGCTTGGAAGATGAAAGTCGCTTTTAGATGTTTGATAATAATACCTTAAAGGATAAATTAGTACATCTGAATTACGATAAATAGTACCCCAAAAAAAAAAAGAAAAAAGAATCATGATAAATAGTAATGGTGACGCGCTATGTAAAACAGAGAATAAAAAAATTAACAGTTCTGTCTAAAAAAAAATTCACATTAAGTTTTGAAATTTACAATGGAATCAGAACAAAGGAAGTAGACTTATTTTTAATACAAATTTGAAAAACACAATGTACACTTTTTTTTTTTTGAGATAGAGAGAGTATTATTGAGGGCAAACATTTGTTTTTGGCCTATAAATTGGAGAGAAGTTTGACATATTTCTCATCGTCTCTCTCATTAATACAACACTGAGGCTTGGACATTAACACACAGTCACACACTTAAAAAGAAAAAAAGGGATAAAGAAAAGAGAGACCAAATGGCGCCAACAACGAACATTAAGGAAGCACATCCAATGAAAGGAGGAGACGACCCTAATAGCTATGTTCAGAACTCTTCCTATCAGGTACCACTTCTAATTCCTATTACTCCATTAAGTAATTATTATATTAGTACCAGAGTATATTTATTTTAATTTAATAGAATAGACTATATTACATGAGCAGCGTCCATCAATTCACATTATACCATCTACATTCTAGTTATATAGAACTTACAATTCAGTTTTTTAGATTCCAGAGTGAGGAAGACTGAAATTTAAAAACCATTCGGGAGAGTTCCTCACCAAAAAATGTCAAAAAAAAAAAAAAATTTCTTACCAAAAAATTTGGAGTTTCTCAACACACGCAAGATATAAAAAAACATGCATGTACACAAGAAAATTTTACGATAGATGATTACTTAGCGACTTTGGGATCAACATGTAACCACCAATATAAAAGCACGCTCAAAATTATTCTCAGTTTCAATTTCCTTTTTAGTTCAATTTGTATTAAAAATAAAAATGCTTGACAATAATTTCGGGATGGAAGAAATATATGTATAAAGAGTATCACACCAATGAACTCTAATTTTGTTTTTGACACCTTTTTTTATTTTTTAAAATTTTTTTTTTCTTTATTGGCAGAAAGGGGTGATTGATGCAGCCAAGGAAATCATCATTGAAGCAGTGACTCAACATTTGGATCTTGAGAATAATCTCACAACTTTCGATCCATCCAAGCCATTCTCCATTGGCGATTTCGGCTGCTCAACGGGACCAAACACATATTTCGCTATGCAAAACATAGTCGAAGTTGTGGCGGAAAAATACAAATCCATAAAGCAACCAAAACCAGAATTCCATGTCTTCTTCAATGATCATGTCAACAATGATTTCAACATTTTATTCAGAGGCATACCACCAAACAGCGACTATTTCGCCGCCGGGGTTCCGGGGTCGTTCTACTCTAGGGTTTTGCCCAAAGGGAGCTTGCATTTAGCTCATTGCTCCTATGCACTTCACTGGCTTTCTCAGGTTCCTAAGGAGATTCAGGATAAAAATTCTCCTGCGTATAATAAAGGGAAGATCCATTACACTGGGACTGAGAAATATGTTGTGAAGGCTTATTTTGACCAGTTTCAGAGAGATATGGATGTGTTTCTTACATCTAGGGCTTTAGAACTTGTGGGAGGAGGGTTGTTGATTATTCAAATGCCAGGGCTTCCAAGTGGGGAGACTATGTTCACAATGACTGGTGCTGGATTGCTTCATGCTATTTTGGGATCTTCCTTGATGGAATTAGCAAAATCGGTAAGTTTTTTTTATATAATAAGTTTTTCTTCTTCCAGGTCCTTTTTTTTTTTTGTCATGCTATTTTTTATTTATCACATTGTTGAATGTAGTTATGTAGCATTCAGAGGTAATTTTGTTACCTTCTTACTAATACATATTATCTTTACACAATAGACTTATCGATTTTCATTTGTGGGAGTATTTTTGTTGTCAAAACAAATATTAGTCCTGTTTATTAATTTTAGTCTTTAGCTATATGCTGAACCTGTTGCCTTGAAAGATGAAAGTCATATACATGATTGGTCATACAATGCCTAGAGCGTTTCGATCGACAGTTGAATGTATGCATATACGCATAGATCAACTTCAATTGTTATTGCATGTGATTCAAAAAATTTATCACATTTTGATTTTTTTTTACTTTTAGTGTGTATATATATTTATATATATATATATATATATAGTCGGATATATGATATGAAATTTGAAAATTCAAATTGTATATTCATTTCAGGACCAAAAAAAAAACCCTATCTTCAATAATTTTCTCAAATCATACAATATATATGGCCGGTTATATATGTACACCTTTTGACGTTGCATTTCATGAAGCAAAAGCCAAGGAAATTATTTCCTTGAAATTGGATACGTTATAGGGAAGATTGCATTACGCTATTTTGTGAAAATTGAACACTTCATTTCATTCAATAAACCGAAAAGTAAAGGAAATTAAAAATTTAGGATGGTTTGCGCTATACAAAAGATGGTGTGTAGAACTCTTCTTTTTTAGGATGGAGTGGTTACATTGTTCTTCAACTTCATTCTTTTAAAGTAGGTTTTCCTTTTCTTTTTTTTTAACATATTATTAATAATTCAACCAATGATTATATGATTTGTGGGCTAGAATTAAAGAGTGGAGACGGGTCCCAAATAATTTCTCAAAAAACATACTCATCACCACCAAGAAACAAAAATTTTTTTGCTCAATTATTTATGAGCTGACGTCATATAGTTTGGAAGATTGATGTTTTGTGTAACTGTAGGGAATAATAAGTGAAGAGAGTGTGGATTCATTCAACTTGCCACAATACCATCCATCCATGGAGGAGTTGGGAAAGGTGATAGAAAGGAACAACAATTTCACGGTTGAGAAAGTCGGGATCTTGAATCACCCAATGAAGGATTTACCATTTGATGTCCAGAGGACTTCTCTTCAAGTGCGCGCCGTGATGGACATGATCTTGACCGAGCATTTTGGTGAACACATCTTGGATCAACTCTTTGTGATCTACACCAGGAAATTGCAGGAGAATTACGATGTTTTCGACAAGCAAATCCGCAAGGACGCCGACTTCTTCCTCGTCCTCAAACGGAAGTTCCATTGAGTAAGAGGATGTTCGTGTATGATTCAACAAAGCGGATTATTTATTTAACGTTATTGATCTTTTTTCTACTATTGAAGGGAGGAAAAAAAAACTTGTGAAATAATTGGACCTTTTAGCTAGGGTTTTACTGAAGCTCATGAAGGGTCCCCATTTAATTTACAACTTTTTTTTAACATTTTGTGTTCCTATTATATTTGAATGTTGTGATCAGTAATAATATATAAGTTGTTTTTATGTTTCATTCAGGCATTTCTCTTTTACCGTTTTTCTACGTTACAAATTGCCCCGACGGGATACTGTCATTAAGTTTTATGAGATCTATATGGTAAAAAGAAATCAATCATTTTGTACTTTTTTCAAGGGAGAAAAAAAAGAAAAGAAAAAATGAAACAGCTTACTTTGAAAGCCCAGCTAAAAGAATCCTCACCGGATAAATGATGAGATATGGTGATTCTGAAAATTATTGCTTCAACCCATAGCTGTTTGCCTGTTTCTTTAACGCCTTAATAGTTCTTTCGTCCACAAATAAAAGTCTTTTTTTTTTTTAAATTAAAATTTACAACTCATATAATTTTCATTTTTAGACAGAGAAATCAAACTATTGAATCAATACATGTATGTCACTGGTTGATGGTGGTAAAAACAAAATTACAAACCAAGGTTTTTCTCTTCTTTTCTCCCCTCTTTTTCTGTTTGGTTGATTAAACAGGGAGCCAGAAAAAAAAAAATGCATTTCGTTTCTCCATTTAAGATCCTGCAGAGGAAATAGAAATGAAGTCGAGGTGATACGGGCAGATGGAGATACTACGACTTTGTCTGGTTACATATACTACTATATACTCAAATTATAATTTTTTTTTTTAAAAAAAAAACATTTTTCTCAACTGCTAATTAAATTTTTACATTTCTAACAGATCATTATAGATTCAAAACATGACAAGACTTTTCAAAGAAAAATTTTCAACTTGTGTTTCTAAATAAGTAGGACAAAGTACAACTGAGCATAATAAAAAGTCAAACAATTACAAAAAGTGCAATACACAAGTATGAAGTGTTCTACACTCTAAGAGTATTTTTTCCTTCTGCGAAATGATTCAATTCTCAATGTTACAGCTAACATAAGGCGAAAATGATAATGATACAATCTCCGGACAACTTCATAAACAATAATAAGGATTTTCAGCGTTCTTCGTCCACTTCTTTTGTCGATTTGGACTTATCATATCCTCGCTTGTAAAGAAAAGAATAAAAGTAAATTCGTCAATAGGATCCTAAAAAGAAGTATAGCTAGCCTCAAAAACAATAATTTGCCTCTCCTCCTTTATTGTTCCTAGCTCAAAATTAGCAGAGAAAACTAAACCATGGAGAATATAAGAGACGTTCATTTTTATTCTTTTCTTTTTTCTTTTTTTGCAGAATATGACTTGAGACATAAAACTCAACAACAACAATATGGGATTTAACAGCCTTAATTTTTACCCAAAAAAAAGGGTAAGAAAATCTTACCCGTGGTATCATCTTCATCATCATAACAGTGAACGAACCAAACTTTTTCCGTGAAGCTTGCAATCAACTGATCTTCCATCTTGCCTCTTGGCATAAGCTTATGGTTAGGGCAAGGACGATTGAGAAATTTTTCATAAGCTTACGGTTAGGACCGTGCCATTGGTAATTGTCTAATTGATATTACATTGTAGGTTAATAAATGTTTCCTAAAAGATCTTTTTTACTTTATAATTTAATTTAATTCTTTACGTTCTATAAGATATTTCATTTTAAAAAGTGTCTAAATATTTTAAAATTATTAAAATCTTCATAAAATTATGTGAAAACCGACACCAAATAAAATTTAAATGAAAATCTAACTTTTTGGTTTCAAAACTCAACATAAAACTCAAATGAAAAACCGTCTCATGTTAGAACCGTAACCGCATCGTAACTAAACCAAAACTTGTGGTTCCAAAACTAGAACCGAAACCGCAATCTCAAGGTTCGGTTTTGGTCCCCATCATCGTGGCTCTAGAATCGCCGGTTCCAGATTCCAGAACCGAAACTGCCGATTCTGGAACCGTGGACATGCCTAGGTTAGGGCAAGGACAGCCTTCAAGAAAAGGCCTTGGGTGAAACAAAATATGGTTATTACGTTTCATGTTAAAGAATATCATACTCATCTATCCCAAAATAATTATTTAGCTAACATTGAAATAAAAATTAGATAATTATTTCAGAGTGAAAATAGTAATATGTTAGTTTGAAAAAGTGGAAATAGTAATATGTTATGCAGACTGCGGAGAAACTATTGCAATTATCAAAATAAATGTTTTAAGGCACCCCGAATATGTTATGGGTTGAACTTCATGAAGTTGGTCAGTTAAAATAATGGTTTTTCTTTTTCTTGGTTGTTTTTGGTCTGATGAAACTACAAAAATGAAGGAGCGGAAATTACATTTCATTTTTCGAATTAAGATTCTCCATCCCGCATTATCCCTGGAAATCAAAAGGAAGTTCTCTATCTTGTCTTGGATATTACACTCTGATGATGGATATGCTACCATATCCCCCCAGAAAAGAAAATACTAAACAACAAAACAACAGCCATTAACCTGATTTCATTATGATACGTGGAGAAGTATCATTGGTCACACCTAGGACAGATACAATTTCTATATTTCCTTAGAATATCCATAAAAGATCATTTAAAAAAAATATTTTTTTAAAAAAATCCGTAGATATCAAATAATTTAGAGAAAGGAGGACAATCACCAATGAAAAAAAGGCAAAAGATTGCCTTAGATAAAATAAAAAATTTTCCCAACACCTATAAATATGTATCATCATCGCATCCCCAAGTCATTCCAACATTTTCTCTTAAATCCCTTTTCCAATTTCATTCCAAGCAACCATGGCTGCCTCATCAATGGCTCTTTCATCTCCATCGTTCGCCGGACAAGCGGTCAAAATCGCCGGACCGGAAGTTTTCGGTGAAGGAAGGATCAGCATGAGGAAGACTGCCGCTAAGCCCAAACCATCAGCATCAGGCAGCCCATGGTACGGCCCAGACAGAGTTCTGTACTTGGGCCCATTGTCTGGCGAGCCCCCATCTTACCTCACTGGAGAATTCCCTGGTGATTACGGTTGGGACACAGCTGGGCTCTCAGCTGACCCAGAAACATTTGCCAAGAACAGAGAACTCGAAGTGATCCACTCCAGATGGGCCATGCTTGGAGCCCTTGGATGTGTGTTCCCAGAGCTTCTGTCAAGAAATGGTGTGAAATTCGGCGAGGCAGTTTGGTTTAAGGCTGGATCACAGATCTTCAGTGAAGGTGGGCTTGACTACCTTGGCAACCCAAGCTTAGTCCACGCACAGAGCATTCTAGCCATTTGGGCTACCCAGGTTGTATTGATGGGGGCAGTTGAGGGCTACAGAATTGCTGGTGGGCCGCTAGGTGAGGTCACTGACCCAATTTACCCTGGAGGAAGCTTTGACCCACTTGGTCTTGCTGATGATCCAGACGCATTTGCTGAGCTTAAGGTCAAAGAGCTTAAGAATGGAAGATTAGCCATGTTCTCCATGTTTGGGTTCTTTGTTCAAGCCATAGTTACTGGAAAAGGGCCTTTGGAAAACCTAGCAGACCATCTTGCTGATCCAGTTAACAACAACGCTTGGGCTTACGCCACCAACTTTGTTCCTGGCAAATAAATGTACCACTAGTGTGTGATTGTGTGATAAGTTGGGTTACCACCATATCCGTTTTTATCATCTTCTAGTAATATTTTGGGTGATTTTGGTGTACATTGTATTTTGCTATATAATTATCAGATGAATGGAAGGTCAAATTTATGAATCTCTAAGTATTTGATGACTTTTTACGGCTTGGTCATTTCAAATTAATGATTTGAGCTATTGAATTGAAAGTGAAAATATGGATATCCATTTTGTTAGTCACCTCATTCATCTCAAGACAATCTAATTAACAAACAAACCCATCGGATGAATTTGCCCAAGAAGAAGAAAAAAAAGGAAAAGGTAAAAAAATTGATTTTGATTAGACAAAAAGGAAAATGTACTCTCTCCTTCCCATATTTATTGTTCAGTTTGAGTTTTTATTTTCAGTTCAAATTATACTAAAAGTAAAATCTAAAATTGGGCAATAATTTTGAGACAGAGGGAGTAATTGGTACAGATCAGATGACATCACTAATATCACAGAAAACAAGAGGACTAGTGCGTTTTAGTGTAACGTTGTAGACTTGGTTTCATTTCTCAAAAAAAACAAAAAAAAGGAAAAATAGTTGGGAGCATTGTGAATTGGGTAACCTTAGCTTGTTAAGGGGCTACACGATTTTGCCGGTGGAAAGTTGTGGCATGCACATAAGTAGCATTTTTTTCTCAACGCATGATGATGGATGGATGAACATTAAGGCCTTGTTTAGGACTACCATTTCTATTGAGTATGTTTTTGTAGATTTTTTAAATAAATAATACTTTTCATGTTCGAAAAAAATAGTTCACATTTAATTTTAAAATTTGTATTTTTTTTAATATAAACTTAAAAACTCAATGTAAAGTATTTTTTTTAGGACAGAAATAATATATTGTTCTTAATATATTTCGTTTACATAAAAGAAGTCTTTTTTCATTTTTAAATAGAAAATGCACACTAAAAAACGTTCTAATCAAAACCTAAACTTTGTGTTGCACTAGGAGATGGACGTATAAAAAGAAAAGAAGAAGAGAAAAAAAAAAGCGGTTTTGTTGGAAGAGACTTGATGATTTCGATGTTGGTGGTATTAAGAAGAATTTGACAGACTTGCATATGACTTTGCGTTAAACAATGCATATGAAGTATAATCTATTGTGTGACAATTTGACAAAGATTGATAATTCAGTAAGTTCTGAAAAGTTTGACAGTGATGGCGTCATCGATTAAAGTATTGTGTGTTAACATGTTCCAAGATCATACAAAGGGGGAGAAAAGAAGAACAGGAAAATTGTAGGAATTCATCAAGTGATGCTTATCAAAATTTATGCTTCTCTCCCCTAAAATATACTCTACCTGTCCCAAAATTATTATCTAGTTTGAATTTTATTTTTAGTTTAAATTGTACTAAAAGTAAAAATTTAAACTGGATAATAATTTTGGGATAGAGGAAGTTATTGTATTTTCTATAGTAATAACTATATTAAAATTGTATCTTTTAGACTCATAAAAAAAATCACATTGTATGTATAGTAAATTATATTAAAAACAGTACAAATCACAAACTACAATGTAATCTATTTTTATAATATGAAAGAAATAAAATAAATATAATAATCATTTTAAAATACATCTTCAATCAATAATTTTTGTAATCAAGGTTTTGGTTTTACTCCATTGGTTGTATCAAAATAGTTTTGCAAAAACTATTCTAATTTAGGGAGAGTACGGTGTTTCAGTTGTGCGTTTCTGTTACATACAACCTCTTGTTCTGGTGTCTACATTTTGCTTGTTATAATTATCAAAAAGATAAATACATTATCAATTTATCATGCATTTAACGTCGTCATCAACATCTTCTTCTTCTTCGTCTTTTTTTTTTTTTTTTAATCTTTTTGGATAATGGAAAGCACAAACACAAGCACATGTATCACAAGAGTTAACTTGCGAATTGAACTGAAAAGGGTATACGTCCAGCTACACGTACGTGCTATCCATGTGGTTATTCTGAAACAAGCCTCATCCTTTAATCATTCCCTCAAGTTGTGATTAAATTTTAATTAAGGTGCTTGATTTATTCATTTTAGATTTAAATCAAAAGTGAAGATTAATCTCCTCTTCCATCACAAAGTAATTGTCATGTGTAATGTATTAAAATAATAGAATAAACAAGACGATTCGTTTTTTGGACGAAAAGTATAAATTAATTCTTTTTTTTCATTAACAAAACCAACCTACCTAATTAGTCTTTTCTAATTATAAAGCATTACATAAAAGATTTGAAAGATTTGTTTGTTTGAGGAGTTGAGACGACATATGCTTTATGAAAAAGTAAATGCTTCAAATCAAAGCTTTTCAATTTGCCTGTCCTCCAATAGCAATAACAGAGATGATTTAACTAATTAAATCAATTAGCAATAATGATTTGTTAGACAAAAGCACATTTCTTTTCTTACTCAGATTCTTTACATTTCTTTACTGCTAATATTCTTTTATTCCCTCCTTTGGATTTGGATTAGCCAAATGGCCAAATCCACTTTAATTTGTATTATCTTAGTTAACTAAAATGACTTGTATGCCCTCAATAAGCCGTTACCGAAAAGAAAAAACAAATTAAATTAACATTGGTGGATTAGTCAAAAGTCAATCATTCCAGATGGCCAAATGGCCCAAATCATATATTAAAGGTCTTACTAACGGCTTTCCCCTGTGTGTTTTGTTGACTACTGGGGTAGTTTTCATTTGTTCTTATACTAGTAAATACTACAATTTATTTATTTTTATATAGATATCAACTATACTCCCTCCCTCAAATACATATTAAAAAAAGAGTTTGTTAAACAAAAACGGAACAGCAAATAATTTGTTTGAAAAAAGAGTTTGTTAAACTCAAATTGAACAACAAATAATTTTGCTATTGTGGTAGCAATTAATCCTGCTACAAAGAATACACATCTAGACAAAGAAATGAGCAATTCATAATTTAATGCTGATGAAGCTTTTTATAGTTTGCCAAGTCTTTGATTTATTGGAACTTTGGGATATAAAATTGAAAGTGATAAAAAAAATCACCTTCTCTGTTACGTGTTCTAGTGTTCTAATTAAAGAGATATTTTCCCCTTTCAAAAAAAAAAAAAAGAAAAAATTGTAAAACAAAAATGGCAAAGCGAATAAGGAGTTGATTCAGTGGTAAAACCACCCTTACTCCAAGAAAAGGTCACGAGTTCAATCCCTTATTCCAATAAAAAGTAAGGGGTTGGCTCTAACCTTGTCCCTATTGGCACCTCTAGGGACTTGTTATGGCTAATCCACTAATGAACTCCTGATTTTGCACCTAAGCTTATCATTCTGGGCTTTTCTAGAGTGGTTTACCTTCCACTGTGATTTGCAGGCTATTGCAGTGGACGTGGGTTTACCCATCTCTGGTGAGTTCCCGGCGTTAAAAAAAAAAAGGCAAAGAAAGTGTGACGGCATTGCGACAGATGTTGTAGAAAGATTGCAAAGTTCGTAGAATAGTGCAAGTTCATGAGGTCATGACAAGCTGTATGAATCATGAAAGTTCTCTTGAAAAACAATTTATGAATTTAGAGTACTATTAAAGCTTAATACTAGTTACTACTGATCCAGATTGATCAAGTCAACCACGTTAAGCTAGCATTTATACAAACCAACAAATTGATCACGTTGAGAGATCATGTGCTTTTGCTTCACAAAACTTAGCTTCTATTCTACTACTATAGCATTTATGCAAAAAGTAGGAAGTTTAAAAGGAACTCACTCCTTACTACATTTAGATTTTGCTTGCAACACGGGGAAGAGTATCAAAGATGCATGTATTTTTGTGGAAAGAAAGTTACATGACATAGAGGAAAACTCCCATTTAATTTGTTAGCATAACATTTGAAAATCACTAAAGTTTAATCCAATCGAAATGCTTTACAAATCAGTAAATAAATTTACTTGTTAGATTAACAGTGAACACTCACGTCATATATACTAATACTACTATTTGATAAAGAAAAGTTTCTTTTTTCTTCCTATATTAATAAATAAGTAGAAAAAGAAAACCAAGCAGAATCGTGGTACCACGTTTTGTTTGGAAAAGCTCAAACACAGCTGTGTACAAACCTTTTGTCCACAAAAATATTGCTACTATTAATTTATTAAAAAAAAATCTGAAAGTGAAAGCTTGGCAATTTTCTTCATGAGGTAATTTTAATTATAGGTTTCTTGACTAGAGAGATTTGCATCAACAACAATTGAAAGTCGTTTCGTAGTCAAATATTGGGGTTCTGTTCACAATGCTGAGCATTAAAAAAGGGTCATTGATTTTTGTAATTATTTATGATGTTTTTTTTTTTTTTTTTGACTAAGATTTCTTCTGTTCTTTCCCCCTTCTTAATTCAGAAATTCATGTAGAGGTAGGATGACGGCAGATAGGAGCGCCCAACCGTCACCTTGATTTTGCAATTTCCCTCAAAATTCAAGAGTTAATTACTCCTACGACTTTCAATGGGAATTTAATTTCCAAACGAAAAAAATAAAGAAAAAAACACACATGCCACATAAAATTCTGTGTATGAATAAGGCAATGTTTGTTTCGTTTTTTTAATGTGTATTTTTAGGTGTTTTTTGTATTGAAAATATAAAAAAATGTATTGAAAATATAAAAAGGTATACTGGGACGAGACAGTTATTATTATTTAATTCTGAAAAAACCAACTAAAAAAGAAAACAAACCAATCGAAGGAGAATTTTGTGAATTACTACAGTTCTCTCCCCGAAATATAGGATTCCCTTTTTCTTATACATGTGCGACGATTAAATAATTGAAGTAGTATTTTTTTATTAAAATAAATTTGGACAAAAAAAGTGTAATTTTGAAAAATATTTTCTTTTTACTGCGTACCTTTTTTTTTTTTATTCAGGTTAATGGTTAAACATGATTATTATTGGGACATAGAGTGAATATAAGCCAAAGGGGAAAATAAGCCAAATACAAGAAAATCGTTTCATTTCCATTCTTCCATTGGTCATTAAGGATACTTCAGTAAATTACATCATTGAACTTTGTACGTTTTGGATTTTGAAGCAAAGCTTTGTACTACATTTGGAGTTCTTCTTATGTTATGCGACTCTCACGCGCACGTACACACACACAGTCCCGCACTAACAGAATCGTATTCTTTCGACATTAATTTTTGTGAATGACTACAAATTAATTCTCCTACATTTTCGTCACAGAAATAAAGAGATTTGATCAAGTGTAAATGTACATATTTTGCCAAGATTGGCTGTTTATATGGGAAAAAAATCACAATAAGATCATTCATAATCTTCACTTGACCACAAGTTTACAAAATCGACACCCCATCCCAAAACAATACTATTTCCGTCTCATAATTATTATCCAGTTTAGGTTTTTATTTGTAATTCAATTGTATTAAAAGTAAAATCTCAAAACTGGACAATAATTTTGGGACAGAAGGAGTAATTTTTTTTAGTGGCATACAACCTCTTATTATTATGGAAATTATAGACTCACTTATGTATGAAATTTTATGAATAAGTGTATCAAATTTATAACTAAGTGCATCATGAACATTACCATATGGTATAAATAACAACATTTCATGGATGCTATAATAATACTCTTAAAAGGTAATAAGATGAAAAAAAATTTACGTTCTTAAATTTTCACCAAAAACACCTTTGTAATCACTTGAAGTAAAATCTAAAATAAAAGCTGAAAAAAATGTTATCTAATTTTATGTGTACTAATAAAAATAAGGTTAATCTATCTGCAACCAGTACCGTACACTTTGTAATTACTCTGCCACATCACCCTCATCATCAGTCAATTGCGCATGTCTGTGTGTAATCTATCATCACTGGCCATGGTCATGGTCATATTCACATAATACATCTTGCCTTTTTCTTTCTTTCTTCCTTTGGTTTTTTGTTGGAGTTTTCCTTTCACCTTTTCCCATTTTTCCTCGCACTGATCTAATAAATGCCAATCTTTTATCTGTTTTGTAATGTTTCAGTTCATCCTTAACTTTTTTTTGGGGGGTTCTTCTTTTTTTTTTTTTGTATTTCTTTATAATTTATGGGGAAAAAAATAAAGAAGTTTTTGCTTCCCCTTTACTTCTGTGAGACTCACTTTCTCTCTCACTCACTCACATTCTCTCTCTCTCTCTCTGCTGTGGTTTCCTTTCTTTACCTCCATTGCAACCCAAGCTTCCCTTTTCCAGCTTCTTTTGAGGCCCCTCATTCCTCTCTACATTGATTCAAACTCAACAACCCTTTCAACTACTTGCTTTTATCACTTCCCTTCTAAATCCTCCCCACCACCACCATATTTAATCCAATGTGCTGAAAAAATATTTATGTATAAAAAGAAAATTGAATAAAAGAAGTATCTTTATTTTTCTTTCCCACCCTTTCTTCACCCCCACATTTGCTTTATTTCTAACAAAGATTGGGTTTTTGTCTGGTCTTATTTGAGAAAAATTCCTTTTTACTGTTTGTTTTGTTAATTCAACATTTTTGGCCCACTTGAAGAGAGGCCATAGTTTTTTTTTTGGTACTTGTAAACTACTCCTCTTCTTTCTTCACGAGTTAATGGTAACTTTTTGCTAGGCATTTGTTGTTTTTGGTGGTTTTGTTTTTGGTTTCTGGGGTTCATTTCAGCTCTGCATTGGCCTATCTATGCTTATTGGATCTCTGTTGGTACAAACAAAGGCTCTTTCTTTACTTCTTTGGGTTCTCAAGGAGGAAGACCGAGGGGGCTAACCTTAGATCATTCAAAGGTGACCGCTTTCTCTTTGTTCCATATCCTCTTTCTCTTGTGTGTTTTTTTTTTTTTTTTTTTAAAGTCCTGCCCTGTTTGATTTTGCTCTCAATTTAATGAGAAGGTTGAGTTATGAATTTAATTAATTTGTGTAATTGTGTGTCGCTATTGAAAAAAGTTATTCTTGATTTTTCGTTGAGTGTGTGTTATTTCTAGGCTCTGTTTGGTTGAGTTATTTTCTTGTGGGCGGAGGGGTGAAGGTTTATATTTACTTGGCTTTGGTACTGTTTATGACTGCCTACATTTCCCAAGGTGTTTTAGACTTTTAGTATTCTGGATTTTGCACTGTACAATGTTGTGATTTCTATTGGACTTTTATCTCGTTTGTTAGTATGTGATAGTTGCTTTCTGACGATGTTTGTCTCAACTTTTCATCTCTCCGTATAAAAAGTTAAAGTGGATTTTCTGTTTGGCCCTTATCTGATATTTGAATGCGTCATTAGAATGAGGTGATATTTGGCTGGTTTACGTTTAATAGGCGTTAAAGCATCCAAATCCAAAAGAGGTAGAGGAAAATTGAAACTTGAATTGCTAATTTGCTGAAGTTTGTATATGTATGCTATTTTGAATGCTTTTGTCCTCAATGTAAATTTGATCACATTTATATGATCCAGCAGGGATGTTATACCATCAAAATTGAAGCTTCGGGTAGAAGATTTGTTAGTTCATATTTGCAAGGTGCTTGTCGAAGATGTCGTCCGACTCCTTGAACGCTCAATTATCAAAAAAGACGTCGTTTTTGGGTCTGAAACTCTGGGTTGTAATAGGTTTAGGTGTTGGTGCATTTATTGTTTTGATTCTCTGTATCCTGTCCGTATGGGTGATGTGCCGGAGGAAATCAAGAAGCACCCTTGATAAGAAGTACTCCCTCTGTCAAATTCCTAATGTGTCCAAAGACATTAAAGTTGACAGAGTGGTGGATCAAAATTACCTTGATCATCCTGAACCTGTGTACTTGTCGGTACATGATAAATCTAGCGATAAAAATTCAGAAAAGATGTCGGTTCATTTAGGGAGGAGCAAATCTAGTGATGTTGATAACATCAGCCAATGTAGCTCTATGTATCATCACGAGAGAGCCTGTAGTTCACAATCAGGGGAGGAAGGAAGTTCTGGAAATGCTCGGAAACAATCCTCTTATGGTCTTCCAATGGCCTCTCCTCTTGTTGGCTTGCCAGAGATCTCACATCTTGGATGGGGTCACTGGTTTACCCTCAGAGACCTTGAGATAGCAACCAACCGCTTTTCAGCTGAGAATGTTATCGGTGAAGGTGGATATGGAGTTGTTTATAGGGGAAAGTTAGTCAATGGGACAGAGGTAGCTGTAAAAAGGCTTCTCAATAATCTGTAAGTATGATGGTAGACTAGTTACTTTTTCCTCAATGTCTATTTTTAGATTATATACTCAGCTCATTGTTAAATGATTATGAACTTTTTCCAGTGGCCAAGCTGAAAAAGAATTTAGAGCTGAAGCAGAAGCCATAGGCCATGTTCGACACAAAAATCTTGTGCGTCTTCTAGGCTATTGTATAGAAGGGGTTCACAGGTAAGATTTTTCTGTTATGTCTATCATTTCAATTTTTAAAATCTTCTAAACCTCATTTGTGGATTGACTGGGATTAAGCCAATGTCTGGCCTGGTAGACAGAGCATTCTTTGCTGCATTTGGCCCTTACTTTCAAGCTTCATTCTCTCATTCCCTTCGATGATCATTCCTCTATTACCCAGCTTTGACATTGACATCCGTAGAACACATTTTAGGTTATTTATTTATTCTTGCTTATGCAGGATGTTAGTGTATGAGTATGTTAATAATGGCAACTTGGAACAATGGCTTCATGGGGCTATGCGGCAATATGGTACGCTGACCTGGGAAGCACGGATGAAGGTCCTCCTTGGGACTGCAAAAGCGTGAGTCCACAAACTAGGGCTTATAGTTAATTTCTCTTCTTTCTTTCAGCTCTTCAAGGTCTTCTAAATCCATATTTTCTTTCAAAATTTTAATTCTTTTGCCTACCATAATTTGTTTCTAATGATTCTGCATGTCAGCTTACTTCTCAAGGCTAGTTCGAGTTGCTTTAGTAATGGTTATCTTACACATTCTGTTTCATGCTAAGCTAGCTCCTTAAAGTTTGAATTCATTGGTTATTTGTGTAATGTCTTACATTTTATTGCAGGCTGTCGTATTTACATGAAGCTATAGAGCCTAAAGTTGTCCATCGAGACATAAAATCTAGTAACATTTTGATCGATGATGAATTTAACGCAAAAGTTTCTGATTTTGGATTGGCAAAGCTCTTGGGTTCAGGAGAAAGTCACATAACAACAAGAGTAATGGGAACATTTGGGTATGTCAGCTTGATATGAATCTAGTGCTTTCTTTGTGTTCACAACATGTGACAATGTTATGGATGATGGTACCGTGGAACAAAATCATGTAGTAAGATGCATGTATTTTCTTTCTTTCAGATATGTCGCTCCAGAATATGCAAACAGTGGCTTGTTAAATGAAAAAAGTGACATATACAGTTTCGGTGTTCTGCTATTGGAATCAGTTACCGGCAGAGATCCAGTTGACTATGCACGACCTGCTAACGAGGTAGTTCATCTTCTTGATGATTCTACTTTTGACTAATTATTTATCTAGTTATTTATTTCCATCTTCAGTTCTGTACCGGTGAAATTGCGGATGTTACTTTTATCAGAGGTAGAATTTACAACAAATTTTATGCCTCTAACAGGTGAATCTTGTTGAGTGGCTCAAAATGATGGTAGGGAATAGAAGGGCTGAGGAAGTTGTGGATCCTAACCTTGACGTGAAGCCTAGTACTCGTGCTTTAAAACGAGCGCTTTTGGTTGCACTCAGGTGTGTTGATCCGGACTCTGAGAAACGACCCAGGATGACTCAAGTAGTGCGAATGCTCGAGGCCGATGAGTTTCCCTACCGTGAGGTGCTTCTCTTTCCCCAACCCTTTGATATCTAGTCGATTGTTTGTGTTTGTTTTCAGTAATGTAGTTTATTATCTACCAATTTAGTAGTCCACTAGTCCTCTTCCTGTGCCTTTTGAGGCCTTTTCTTGGATATATTGAGAAATCTGCTACTGAAATTGTTATGAATTTTCAGATTGCATTCCATAGTTATAATCAGTGTTTCTCAGGGTAATGTACTACGTATGTGAGGAAGATGCAGAATTTACAGTGCATTTGTACTAGTTGAGTATCTATAAAGACAAATAGGGACTATGTTGATGTTGGTGAAAAAATTATGGAATACGTAGCTGAAGTTTTTGTTTGAATCTGGTTTGTCCAAGCCTCCAGGTCTGGAATTTTTTAACTTTCAGGCTAGGACTATGTGATCATTGAGCATGTTGCATTGCCAACGGCATTCTGTTTGTGAATTCTAGCAGAAAATAATTGATTGTTGTAGGACCAACGCAATGAATAAATATCGTCTTTGTACAGGACCGGAGGAGCAGGAGAAGCCGGACGTCCAGCAGCATGGATATTGAATCTATGAAGGATAGTAGTGGTTTGGGTGATGTGGACAGCAATGTAGGGCAGCAATCATCAGATAAACAGACATCAGAGGCAATTGTGATTAGGACGGACTGACAACAAACACATGACTTTGATAAAGATTCTTCTTCTTCACACCTTCCTGAGTTCAAACCTTTAACCCTTTCTTCAATACAACCCACAAATTTCGAAGTACGGTCCAGGTAAGATTCCTGCATGGGCAGAGAGATTAATTGGATAAGGAAAAAAAGGCTAACCCTTTTGGCATTTTAGAAGAATTGGCCCTCATATGCTGGCATGAATTTCTGAAATGATGAAAGGCAGAAATCAGAGAGACAGTGACTGTGTGGGAGTGAGTGAAACTGTGAGTGTGAGAGAGAGAGAGACACAAGCGAGAAAGGATTGTTGTTGCTGTACAGATATGTTTGCAGTGGGCCTTTGTTGATAAAACAACATGCATGATGATGATGAATGGCCATTCTTTTTCTTTTCACCTTTTGCTGACAATTTATATACTAGTAAAATCTTAATTTATATGTTCTGAAATAGCCATCACAGAGTTCTAAAGAACTGGCTGCTACTACATTCTTTTCCTTCCCCTGCATTCCCCTTCCCCCGTCTGCTTAGTGTTTCTCTTGCATAAAGCGATTCTTAGAGCATGTTTGGTCTGTGAATTTGATGTTGATTCTGTTCTCTTAGCTGGTTTTTCATTGTACATTTTTTACATTTGTAAAGTAAAATAAGTCCCAACCGTAGTGACAGCTAATGTTTACACGACGGGCTAATAATTGGAGGTGTTTAGGGAATAACAAGTTTAATGATTGGAGTTTTGGACTTCTGGTCACATGTAGTTTGCAGCATGAAAAGAGGGTCATCATGTTTTACTTTGAACTTGGAAAGAGGGCCTTTGGCTAAGGGTCCCCATTGTTGTCGTAACCTATGATTTGTGTGACTATATAAACTGAGGATGCAGGGCTCCTGGTCCTGATAACTAAGGTCCTACATTGTACGAGACTGCTGACTTTCTGTCTTTGTTACAGTTTTCTGTATTTCCTCGTCGTTAGGTTTTGTTTTTCTCCCATATCCAAGGTAGGTAGGTACAAATCCAAAGCCCCATTGTGATTTTTTGTTTGTTTGAGTTAAAAGTTAAAACCATGCACTGGTTCAATCATGGATGATAATCTAGGAGTGAAAATTTATATCACTCAGCTTTGTCTCAACATGATTTGTCCGATTTACAATTTTACTTTTAATATAATTCATTGAAATTCAAACTGCACATTCATTTGAATGGAGAGAATATCTGTCTTCATGTGTTGCTAGTTTTTATCTCATTAATGAAACTAAATTACACGTCACTAGAAAGTTAAAGAATGTTACTAATCGATTTTCTATTAGGGTTTCATCCAAAAAGTAATGGTGTTGAGTAAGGGGTATTTTGGTCTTTTTAAATTTCAAAAAAAAATATTGATAAAAAATATTATTTTCAGTTTAATTTTTTAGGATTAATTTCAATAAATATTATTTTTAAATTCTATTCTTTATTTATCCACCGCATCTTTTAATAATTCCTCAACCCCAAGTCCCATCACCTCTCTGCCTCCATCTCCGATGATCACTATCCCAAAAACAACCCATCATCATCTAAAAGCGGAAATCAACATAATCAAACTCTAAAATCATGATATAACATCAAATTTAAATCCATTGATCTCAGAACAATGTTCACAAATCAAGTTCTTCACGCTTTCTTTTCTTAATTAGCTCAAGTTTCTCAAATTCTTCACAAGTCAAGTTCGTCACGCTTTCTTTTGTTAATTAGCTCAAGTTCCTCAAAATCTTCCCAAATCAAGTCCCCCTCAAGCCGATTAATGAAGTGAATAAACACCTGAACGAGAGTTAATCTCAAGCCGATTAACTTGCTGAAAGAAAGAAAAATGTCATTAGATTCTACGTGTAACATTTCAAAACATCATCATTTGATTCCAAAATAGTCAAAAGTAACAAGCATCGCAATGATTTATTCCAATTCCGTAGCAAAATACTCTCAGTAAACAAGAACGGTAAATTGCATCTAGGAAAGCACTTGATTTTTAATAAGCTGGAAGCCAATATAACTGACAACCAATTTGGCATGAACGAATGAACACAATAAATGAGCTTCTAAAAAACAAAAACGAAAAAAAACGATATAGCCTGCAAATCTAATCAAACTTCAACACAAAATACACAGAAATATTACTTGAGAAAGTAAGAATAAAGTGAGGCAATTTCTATTTACCTAAAACATCAGGTCATCATGATTCACTGATTTTTTTGCTTATGACATCATTAATTTAACTTCCACACCATTCCCAAACGAAAAAAACAAGTTTGCTTGTTATGAACACGTAAATGTACCGAATAATTTGAGGGGAAAAGAAAATCCAACCAGAAGAACTTTAAAGGCTTACTGATTCAGGATACTGATTCTTGATCTTTCTCTGAATGGCACTGGATGACGTAGTAAATGGAAACAAACAGAGCAGCTCTTCCTTCGGATCGAGTCTCTTCTTCTTATCCCGCCTCTTCCTCTTCCTCTTCTTCTTTTTCTCCTCTTCCTCATCCCCATCTAGAAGAACAGACCCATTTTTATCCGCCTCCGAATTAGAAGGCAATACCTCCAGAACGATCGAGCAGGTCATCTGGGTCGCTGCCTTGGATCCATCATGATCCATCCTAACAGCAAGATTTGCGGCTCCACCCAAACCCACACCACCGATCCACCGTCCACCTTCAGATCTCCCAAACCCACACCTCGATTCCTCCCCCTTTAGATCTCGCAATTTCTCTCCCTTTGATTTCGCGGTTTGCACATCTTGCGGGTTTTAGGCCTTGAGAGGCGGTTGACCTGGCTAATTCTAGAAAATTGAGTATTGGTTAATCCCATTCGATACTCATCTCCGCCACGTATTGGGCTCTGGTAACTATTTTCGGCGATGCATAGTCTCGAGTCAAGTTCAAATGCAAGATTTCTTCCTCGATTTCGAAAACCCATTTTCTCTCGATGATGAAGAGGTTGGAGAAGATGATGATGATGGAAGAAGAGGATAAAGTGATGATGGAGTTGGCGGCATAGGTGGTGACTGGTGTTGGAGGAGGCGGCGATCCATAATCATGCTTTGGAGGGAGAGACTTAGGTTTAGGAGGGGGTGGCGGCGGAGGAGATTTATGTTCGGGAGGTAGCGGAGGGAAATTAAGAGGCCGGGCAAGAAAGAGTGTATTTTGGATGGGCGGAGGGGAGTGTATTTCGTGGATAGAAGGAAAAATGTAAAAGAAAATAAAAATTAAAATATAAAAATAAATCCAGTCCTTTTTGAATGAAACGAGGTTGTTCATAATAATATTATTTTTTTTTATTTTTTTCATAATAATATGATAAAAAGACGAAAATACCCTTAATCCAATGCATGAGTTGTTCACGTGCATTAGTGGCTTCCCGTTACTTTTTGCATTGAAATCTATCAGAATAGCAAAAGGTGACACTATTTGAATTTTCGGTGGCTTACGGTCTGTTTTTAAACAATTGGTATCAAACGATGACAAAGAGTAACTTTTTAATATTTTTAGTGTAATTAATTGTACTTCCTTTCACTCGTTCAAGAACAACGAATAATTTAACGTGTAAGCTCAAAACACTCAACTTCAGGATTAGTAAAACGATGCAGTTAATAGTAATAAACAAGCGGATATAAGATAGGTGCTCAGTTTTTGGTTAATTAAGCAGATCTCGAGATGGGAAAAGCCAGAGATGCGCGGCAAACTTTGACAGTTTTCTGAATCAAAGACTCAAGAGGGATACAATAATTTGAGTGTTTCTTGTAATATAAAACGCTCGATGACTCGATCTTTTACGTTAATCTTGGTACTGGATTCTACATGTCAGTGTAATTTTACTGGTAATTTTGGGCCAATTTATCGGGAGAAGAAATGCAGCTAACCAAAAATGTAGTAGCATTTTTTTTTTTTTTTATACAGTTGTTCTCTTGTTCTAAGAACATAGAATACATCTTGTTCTAGTCAAATTTGGACTCTATGTCTGAATTTGTAAATGTTCAATCACCGAAACCCAGGGCAAGTGGCTGCTGCCAAGCACTCGTAAAGAACGATAGTACATCAATATTTTTATATATATGGTGGAAAAGGAAAAAAAAAAAAAGACTGTTTGTGGCCAAAGGCCACTTTCATCGAGAGATCATCATCTCATTTACTGCATTGTGGGATATAATCATAGAAGCGAGGGGAAAGTTTCAATTCTCGCAGTCCTTGTTTTTTTTTTTTTTTGGGTTAACCTTGTCTTTCAGATTGTTCACCTAAGGCTAAGAGGCTAACAGACCTTTTGCAAATGGATTGCCCCCCTACAAACACCAATAGGAAACTTGAGATCATATCTGTGTGACAACTTACAAGCTTATCATCATAGCTATTTATTATCATTTTTGTTTTTTTGGAAGTGGTATTATATATGTTTATTTATAGGCGATGAATTTTTGCAGCCATATACTTTAGTACTTGAAATCACCAATTTTTAAAAATTTTCATTTTACCCCTGTCATTTTTTCCAAAGTAGAGAGAGAAAGAAATGAGTTACTCAGAGGTAAAATAAAAAAACTGAAAAATCGGACCAAACTGAGCAATATACGCGTTCCGGTTGAACCAAGAACGAGTAATATACCCGTTCGATTTTGAAGAAAAATGTGTATATTACGCGTCCGAACCGGGTTAAACTGGTTCGGACGGGCAATATACGTGTCCCGGTTGAACCAAGGACGCGCAAGGAACGCGTCCGCCTTCCCGCCCGGACGAGCTAGCCACACGTCCACCTTCACGCCCGGACGAGTGACCCACACGTTCCGGTTAAGGCTTGAACGCATTCCTTGCCCGTCCTTGGTTCAACCGGGACGGGTATATTGCACGGTTCAAACTAAGCCGGAACGGGTATCTTGCCCGTTCTGGTTTTTTTTTTTCCATTTAATTATGTTTTTTTATTTTTATTTTTATCTTTTTTTTGTCATTATATTATTTTATGATTCTTAGTTGATTATTTATTTAGTAAGTTAGTTTATTTTTTAATTAGAGTAGTTTTTTTGAATTAGTTATGTTAACAATTAATTTAGTAATTAGTTAAATTTAATTTAGTTGTTTATTTTAACTATTTAATTAAGAATTATATTTTTAATTATATATGCGAATATATTTACATTTAATTATATATGAAAATATAATTAATTATAGTAATTTATTATAGTGCAATATTATTTTTTTTTTGTAGGATTCTTAGTTGATTATTTGTTTAGTAAGATAGTTTTATTTTTAATTAGATTAGTTTTTCGGAATTATTTATGCTAACAATAAATTTATTAATTAGTTAAATTTAATTTAGTTTGGTTTATTTTAACTATTTAATTAGGAATTATATTTTTAATTATATATGCGAATATATTTAATTATAGTAATTTAAGTTTAGTTTTAGGGAAATTTGATTTAATATATTTTTTTGATTAGTTATATATTTTTTTATAATAATTTTGTTTAATGTAATTGTATGTTTTTTACTTATTTATTAAAATTGTGATTTTTATTTATTTGTTTTTTAAATAATTTTAAATTATGTTTAATTTACTTTATTATAGTGCAACATTGTTTTTTTTTTTTTTGTAATTTTATGTTTAATTTGCAGGATTCGTTCGAAGATTTTGGTGGCGATGGTGAAGATTACAGTGTAGTGTTTGCTACAGAGGAGGAATTTGCAGAAAAGGATGATGCGGTTGATTGGGTGAAAGGCATGGGCTTAGAAAATGGTATGATAATAAATGTAGTTTCTAGCAAGAGAAAGAATGATGTTTTGATGAGATGTTGTAAAGATGGAAAGGTAAAGGGGTTACTTGAAGATGGTGAAAAATATGTGTCAACGGATTCGAATACACAAATCACTGGCTGCAAATTTAAGTTATATGTGCACTCAGTTGGTGGAAAGTGGCGCATCCGTGTGTATCCTGGTGAGTTTGGAATGCATAACCATTCCCTGTTTGACGAAGATCATCCCACGAGGGGCCTTAGCGATGGAGTGAAACAGGTTATACAGGGTATGTCTAAAGATGGGTGCAGGCCGTGTCAGATAATGGCTGCGATTGAGAGGAAATTTCCAGATGAAAAAGTTAACAGACGGCAAGTCTACAATTACAGGAAGAAATTGCGTAGTCAAAGGTTCCCGGTCTTGGGTGACTCGAGTGCCATGGATGTCGCGACGAAGACACTATCGGTGGCGAAGCATCATCGTTACATCATCATGACAGATTGCAATCAGGAGATAGGTGTGCTGACTCGTGTTTTTTTTTTTCACATCCTGATGCTGTCAATTTATTTTGCACTTATTTTTGGGTCGTCGAGATAGACTCAACATACAAGACGAACAAGTACAAAATGCCGTTGGTTGAGTTTATTGGGATGACACCATGCAACCAGAACTTCTTGATTGCATACGCCCTCTTGAGTGATGAGATTGGTGAAAGTTATTATTGGGCTTTGAGGCAGTTTAGGGATTTGCTTCTTGGTCATCTGTCTCCGGCTGTTATTGTTACTGATCGGGAACCGGGGTTGATGGCGCCGCTGGGTTCGGTTTTTCCAGATTCATGCCACTTGTTGTGTGTTTGGCATGTTTATGAGAATGTAAAGCGACATCTCAACAAGGAATTGAAATTTGACGCCAAGCTTGCAAATGGTTTTGCATATAGGTTGTGAAAAGACATTGTGGAAACTAATAATCAAGATAACTACAATAAAGCTGTTGCCGTAATAAACCGTCATTGGCACAATTTTCCGAGAGTTCTTAATTATATCCATAAGACATGGCTAGTGGTTGACTACAAATTTGTCAAGGCATGGACGAATACTGTGTTTCATATGGGCAACACTACTACAGGTAGGGTCGAGAGCGCGCACAAGCAATTAAAAACTCGGCTAGAAACATCCACTGCGTCACTGGATACACTTTGGGCTAAGGTGCACTTGGAAATTCAGAGTCAGCTAACTGAAATACGGTAAGTTCTATTCCATTATATTCTAGTTATTATATATTTAGTATTTTTTTAGTATTTTTGGCATTTTTCCTAGAATGTTTTACAGTAAATGGTTACAAAAAATATAATCCTACATTCAAGTACAAACTGGAATACTCGAGATAGAAAATTGGCACCCATTATTGCGGTTTTTCACTGAACCGCTTAAAGTGTCAAGTTTCACATACATGTTTGAAAAAACTGAATACTAAGTGGTCGAAGGCGCAAGAGTGGAAAGAAGAAACGAATGACATATGTGATCATGTGGTTTACTGGACTTGTCGAATTCCATGTGCGTGTGCCCTCAAAAAGGCTGCAGATGCCGCCACATCGATAACTCTTAAGCATATTCACCCATTCTGGGCGACCCTTAATATCGATGAATAGGCTGCTACTGGTGGTTCGAGCGATGTGGATGACGATGTCCTTTATACCAGATAGTTGATGGAAGAGCTGAACGAGTGTCCTAAGGCAGTACGACGCACGGTAAATAGGGTTCTCCACGATATTATGCATCCAGACCAGTGTGGGTTCAAACAACCCGAGGAGGTCAAGAGAAGGAAGGGGCGGCCAAAGGGGGCTAAATCAAAGATAAAAGCAACATCTAATGTGTGGGATTACAGGGACGACACTCAAGGAAAGTCGACCACAGTGACCAGCGATTCAAGTAAGAAGCGCCCCTCGTCTTCAGGTGGTCGTACAGATGCATCCACATATACATGTTAAGAAGTTATTGTTGCGTCCATAATTTATTTATTAACAATTGTTCCAAATAACATTTGTTCTGTGTAATTTACAGATATTTTTACGAGTGATATTTCACAGTATGGTTGCTACGACCTAATTCCATGGCCCATTCGGACATATATTACCAGTTACCTTGATGTGGGTGCCGATGGCAATTGTGTTATTCGCGTCATCGAGAGTAACATGTATTTGTGCCCGGACAAGTGGGCGATGGCGAGAGAGGCAATTGCGATCGAGTTAGAATAAAATTGGCATCTGTACAGGGGAATTTACGGGTATACCTACTTTTCATTTTCTATGTTATGATGTTTGCTGAACTTGACAGTATTTTGCACAAATAATTACACATGTAAATGCAGGACTACCGTGCAGGAAGAAGTGAGTCGTATACGGTGGAGTGGATTAGGTTTTGCACCTGAGCGCCATTGGATGTGTACGACAGACTTGTTCGTAGTTGCGACTATGAACAATGCAATTGTGTACTATTACGGTGC